TTCAGACAACTGTTGGAGGCCACATCTGGAGGACAGATGTGGTCGCAGGGCTTGTTCTCTCTGCCTTTGACTTACTCTCTCTTTCTCGCGTCCTTCCCCTCCCTCCCTCCCCCCTTTTTTTTTCGCTTTTTGGGAAACATGAGAGCTGGGCTAATTCTCTCCCTCTCTCCGTGTCTCTCTTCTCTCTCTCCCACCCGGCGGGACCACCCACATTCGGAAACGCCTCGCTGTTCCCCAGGCAGCGCCGGCAGAGAGAGATGTAAGGATGGGTTATGACTGACGGTTTTAGCAGAGTATCAATTACATCAATGTCAAAGCAGCCATAACCTGCCGCTGAGAGCCGAGGAGAGTCTGCTAACTGCAGCAGGAACTGATGTTGACTACAGGCACTCGCTTCCGTCTGCAGAATATTTAATACATGAAATAAAGAAACAGCAGCTTTTATTCCATCGTGTAATTACATGTATGTCGAAGCAATACACTGCCTTTGTTTCAGGGGTAAAGACGGCTCCATCTTCATTCTGCATGAAACCTCTTACATATTTTTAACGTGTAACTTAGCTGTCATTTGAGAAATGCTTACACGAGAAATGTGGGGTTAAGTATCTTTGAGAGAGGACACTGAGATGTTTGTTGCACGTTGACTTCAAGGACTCCTGTCGACTACATGCAGTCGCTTCAGACTGTAGAATATTTAATACATTAAATAAAGAAACAGCAGCTTTTATTCCATCGTGTAATTACATGTCAAAGCAATACACTGCCTTAGTTTCAGAGGTAAAGACTTCATTCTGCATGAAACCTCTTACATATTTTTAACATGTTACTTAGATGTTATTTGAGAAATGCTTACACGAGCAATTTGGGGTTAAGTATCTTTGAGAGAGGACACTGAGATGTTTGCTGCACGTTGACTTCAGGGACTCCTGTCGACTACATGCAGTCGCTTCAGTCTGTAGAATATTTAATGCATTCAACAAAGAAACAGCAGCTTTTATTGACTTGGTAGCAGAAAGTAAATAAGTAAGTCCTATCGTATAATTACATGTATGACAAAGCAATACACTGCCTTTGTTTCCGGGGTAAAGACGGCTCCTTAAATTCCTTAAACTTCATTCTGCATGAAACCTCTTACATATTTTTAACGTGTTATTTAGATGTTATTTTAGGAATGCTTACACGAGCAATTTGGGGTCTGCAGAATATTTAACGCTTTACAAGAATGCATCATAAGTGCCGTCATGCAATTACACACATACTGTATGTCAAAGGATTAAACTGCCTTGGTGCTCAGAGTTCATGCCGCTTACATTCTTACATTCTTTTGAACATGTTATTGAGCTGAAGCTTTTTCCTAAGTGACTTACATACACTTTAATTCCGTAGTTTGCCTACAGGAGTGATTTGGGGTTAGGTGTCTTTCCCAAGGACACTTCCACATGTTTGCAGCTTGTTCACTACATGCACTCACTTCAGTCTGCAGCTCATTTAATGCAGTACAAAAATGCATCTTAGGAAATAAGTGCCATTGTGCAATTACTTATATGAAGAAACAATAACCTGCCTTAGTTTGAGGAGGAGAGACGGCTCCTTCAGTTCTTTAGAGTTCATGCAGCACTCATGTTATTTAGCTGTTATTTAAGACGTGACTACGGGAGCAATTTTGTGTCGAAAAATGTGTGTCGCTGCATGTAAACAACATTCTGCAGATTATTTAACACATTACCAAAGTGCATCGTATAATTGTGCAATTAGATAAGCAATAACCTGCTTTTGTGTAAAAGGGAGATAAGTTCATGAATCTCTTCCTAACTGTATCCACTGCAGCATATTTAATGTATCACAAAAATGCATCTTAGGAAATAAGTGCAATGGTGCTTGAAGCTGCCTTTAAGTTCCAGAATAATTGAAAAATGACTAACTAGAGTCCAGCATTTTACTCAAAAACAGCTGTTGTTTTTATGTTTGGTAAGCACTTAATAGGAATATTTAAATCTAATCTCCTTTTAGAAGTTAAGGACCATCATGCAATTAGATCAATGTGAAAGCATTAAACTTCCAATGTGTACGGAGGGGACTTGGGGAGGTGACACAGGACGGATTCGGATACAAAAGGTAACTGTGTTCCCTCACAGTTGCATACAAAAGTGGAAAAAACGGGTTTGGCTAGCACGATGAAACGCTACGATACATTTTAATCTTCCCGAGTTTCCAAACATCAAGAAAAACAAGTCTCGGGGAAACCAGAGCTGATTTTCCAGGACAACATGGTGGCCCCTGCAGCTTACTCATACATTACAACGTTATTTATTGCATTACGCAGCAAGTGCCAATGAGTGCCATGTGTAATTCCATATGTTAAGAGGAGAGAGTCAGATACGTCTATGTAGCATGCTTATCGTGTAAACTACATGCACTTAATTCATTCTGGAGCTTATTTAAATATCAATTTTAAAGAATAAGTAGAATAGTCTTTGAAGATGGCCTTTGCCGAACTCTTAAAGTTAGAGAGAATTCTTCATAACACTGAAAAATAATTTACTCGAGGCAAAACTTTGTCAAAAACAGCAGCTTTTATTTACTTGGTGAGCAGTTCAAACATTTCAAACGTTATAATAGTGAATGTCTTCATTATGTGGATGTGTCTTGAATCAAAAGTGTTTCCAACAACCTGCAGTCCACTCTCTAAAAAGCAAAAAGCTTTGTTGTGTTTTTAGCTTATTGTTTGTTTGTTTTTCAGCACATTGTTTGTTTTGTGTGGCCTTAACTTGCTTTAAATAACCCTCAACATGAACAAAGCAACGTATTTAGCAGCTGATCGTTGCAGGAATAGGTGAGAGAGGGACATCCACCTCCTTAACATCACACAACATGTAACTTGAGTCGAAACAGCAGCTTTGATTTGCTTGGTAAACAGTAAATAAGTTTATCTCAGTTCACACGTTTAAAACTTCTTTGGTATAAAGGTCAGTATCGCCCCCTTGTGGATGTTTCTTAGTATTGCATCTTTACAAAGTGCAGTGCCACTCTCTAAAAAGCATGATTAACAAGTTACTGATAACGCTTTGATGGCAGATTGATAATGAATGCTCCCATAAGGACAATATGTGTGTTGCCCAGTTGTGAAAACACGTTTTGGCTGGCCTAACTCACTATGAGAATTTCCCTAAACAAAAAAATGCTTTTGGATTAAGGTTTAAAATAAGGCGTGTTTCTTAGATTTAAAAAAAAGAGAAATTAGATTTGTTATATATACAATATACATATATATATATTATGATATTATATTATTATATTATACATACTTTATATACAATATAAAGTAAAAACAAAGATGAATAACTAACCTAACTCAAATTTAGTTTGATGGAAGAAAATATTCACTAGCTGAAGGGTTTATTTCACAACCTGGCAACCCACACATTGTCCTTATTAATGAAGCAGTATTTATTAACCATTTATAAAGCAATCGGATAAAACTGCTTTATGACAGAGTGGCACCCGTTCTGAAATATATAGCATAAATAGTAGTGCTCAGTGGGGCAAGCATAAATACTATAAAGTGGTGCAGGAATGAGTCCTAAAACCAGGAAATGAGTCAGCATTTTAGAACTACCTGTCCCCTCGTATGGAAGTCAGTGGTTTTCTGAATGTGTTTTTGGTTGTTAGCCTGAAATAAGGTCTGTGGTTAACACAAGCTGAAGAGATTTTAAAGTTGTCTTCTACAACATAAAACACGTCAGTAAATACCCCCCCATCACGCCCAACATTAGCCACCTTTAGCTTAGCGGTGGTGACCTGAAGTCATGTGACCGTGCTGTAGTTCCTTTATAGCCCAACATTAGCCGCCTTTAGCTTAGCGGTGGTGACCTGAAGTCATGTGACCGTGCTGTAGTTAATTTATAGCCCAACATTAGCCGCCTTTAGCTTAGCGGTGGTGACCTGAAGTCATGTGACCGTGCTGTAGTTCCTTTATAGCCCAACATTAGCCGCCTTTAGCTTAGCGGTGGTGACGTGAAGTCATGTGACCGTGCTGTAGTTCCTTTATAGCCCAAACATTAGCCACCTTTAGCTTAGCGGTGGTGACATGAAGTCATGTGACCGTGCTGTAGTTCCTTTATAGCCTAACATTAGCTTTTTATTTCTGGAGAATATATTTGCACTACAAAAATGTTGGAGGTCTAACCCAGAAGTTAGCATCTCCCTGGTTCCCTCCACAAAAAGCCAACTGGATTTCTCCATTGGATTTGGTGTCAAACAAACATATATGATTCTTACACGTTTTGTTCAGCAGGATCATCTCCACACATTAACACCACTTTATGATTTTTTAAGTAAAAAGCTTACGTTAGGCTAAAAAGGAACTATAACACGGTCACATGACTTCACGTCACCACCGCTAAGCTAAAGGCGGCTACCGTGGGCGTGATGAAGTTTAGTCGTCTCATTTAGACACTTGTTAGCAACCGCCATTTTTAAATCCACCAGTGGGGTATTTACTGATGTAGTTTATGTCGTAGAATAAAACGTAAAATCTCTTCAGCTTGTGTTAACCACAGACCTCATACTGACTCATTTCCAGGTTCTACTGTAGGACTCATTCCTGTGCCTCTCTATTGTAACAGTTGCTAGCACGCTAATACTTTGGTTTGTAGTGAATTAATTTCAGGTAGGGCTGTGCAATTAATCGTATTTTAATCGCAATTACGATTTTGGCCTGCCACAATTACGAAAACAACATAATCGAAAAAAACGATTATTTTGCTTTGCTAGGTTGTGACAGTGCACTGCAACATATTTGATCTAATTAATTTTGGTCTCATTTATTTGTATTTATCATATTTATATATGTTTAGTAGCTTGGGGAAGTGCGCTCCAAAATATTTGTTGATCTTGTTTATTGGTATTTATTATTTTGATATTATTTATTTAAATGTATCATTTATTTATTTATTTTTGTATTGGTTTTTCAGTTGAATTATACGTTCAGGGTAATCAACAGTTAAAAAGATACTGTTCAAATTATTATTTGTATTTGTTTTAAAGTTCAATAAATGGATTTTTTCAAAGTCAATGAATAATCGTATTTAATAATCGTGATATCAATTATTGACCCAAATAATCGTGATTATGATTTTTGCCATAATCGCACAGCCCTACTTTAAGGTGCATCTTCAATAACACTGTTTACCTCTCATTTAGTTTTCTGGGTTCTCCTTCTGCCCACCTCCGTGGCCACTGACCCCACCGTGGCCCCCACCATGCCCCCGACCGGCCCCCCCACAAACAGCCTCACCAGAGCCCCCAGCAGAGCCTCCCTGCGGACCACCGTGGGCAGCCACCTCACCCAGCCTATCAGCTTCTCCCACAGCCCCCACAGGAAAGAGGGAGGATCGGGGGAGACTTCAGAGGGGAAGAGGTGGTCTACATCCAGCTCCAGGTCCCCGGCGCTCCTCTCCGCCTCATCACGTACCGACAACATGTCTTCCTCTGTGATTTCCTCGTCTCCTTTCCTTTGTTTCACCATCTCCTCCTGCCTCCTCCTCACCCTCTCCTCCGCCTCCCGGTACAGATCACAGCTGAAGTGCTTCTCCCCAGACTCAGAACTTAACATGGAGAAGAAGTGTTCAGTTATTATGCTCCATATATCTGAAGGAACAATATACTGTAAACCTGCAGGTCGGCTGAAAATGAATTTTTAATAACACCTTTTTAAGGAGGGAACAGAGGGAATGCTAACTTCAGGGTCAGACTACAAAACAATTAAAAATGTAAATGCAATTTCCAGAAATAAAAAGCTAACGTTGGGCTATAAAGGAACTACAGCACGGTCACATGACTTCACGTCACCACCGCTAAGCTAAAGGCGGCTAATGTTGGGCTATAAAGGAACTACAGCACGGTCACATGACTTCACGTCACCACCGCTAAGCTAAAGGTGGCTAATGTTGGGCTATAAAGGAACTATAGCACGGTCACATGACTTCACGTCACCACCGCTAAGCTAAAGGCGGCTAATGTTGGGCTATAAAGGAACTACAGCACGGTCACATGACTTCACGTCACCACCGCTAAGCTAAAGGCGGCTAATGTTGGGCTATAAAGGAACTACAGCACGGTCACATGACTTCACGTCACCACCGCTAAGCTAAAGGTGGCTAATGTTGGGCTATAAAGGAACTATAGCACAGTCACATGACTTCACGTCACCAGCGCTAAGCTAAAGGCGGCTAATGTTGGGCGTTACATTTAGTCGTCTCATTCAGACACTTGTTAGCAACTGCCATTTTTAAATGCACTATAACTTTTATACCTGTGTTTTTCTATATTAGCTTGTTGTATGTTTATTTTATTCTCTATGCTGTTAAATGAATGTGTTTCCGCTGCACTAAAGCCCTTTGAAAACCCTTGTGTTGAGAGGTGCTGTATAAATAGACTTGCCTCACCACCTGCTCCACCTTCTCCATCAGCTCCTCCACAGCCCTCTCCCCTCTCTCTAAGGTGTGGTAACGCTCTCCACATTTCTCCACCAGCTGCAGCAGGTCTTTGCGCCAGGTGAGCAGATATTCCTCCAGCGTCTCGTCCTCCTGCAGCTCCTCGGTGTGTGAGAACAGGATGAAGGTTCTGGTTCTGATGGCAGAGGAGCCCAGCAGCTGATCCAGGACCTGCAGCGCCACCGCCTCCCCCTCAGAGGGCTGGTTCAGGGAGAGGCAGAGCAGGAAGGCGTGAGGCCCGGGGGAGGAGCGGGAGATAAAGGAAGAGATGTTTCTCCGTCTTTCCTCCGGGTCGCAGCCGGATCCGAACCACGACCCGCTGGAGACAACCTCCACCTGAGAGAGGAGAGAGGAGAGAGGAGAGAGGAGAGAGGAGAGAGGAGAGAGGAGAGCACAAGGTATTCAGATTCTACAGGCCCAATACAAACGGACCCTTAAAAGATCCCCTATTATACTGTTTCTCATCAATATATCACAGGTCTCAGATATATCCAGAACCTGTCTCTGATTGGCTGAAACACCAAACAGATCATTGCAGCATCCCATAATCCTCTCTGTTTCAGCCCTGTTTCCAAAGTGCTGATTCTCTGTCTGTTACTTTAGATGAAAATAAGGAGCCCCTCCCCACGCCCCTCTGAGAGACATTTGGTTAAAAAGAACACAATGGTGCTCTAGGAGCAGATTCAGGTGATAAGGGGGGGGGGGGGGGGGGGGTTACCTTGGTTGGTGATTGGCTAATGGTTACACAAGCCAACACATCGTTATGACATCATAAAGTGGCCAAAATCTGATCAGCTCATTTTCAGACAGGTTTTTATATAAATGGATCAGGACAAAAAGAGAGAGAATCTCTGTTCCTGAAACTTTCAGAGTCTCTTTCCACAGAGGGGACACATGTTGATGAAGAAGAGACATGAAGAAGAGGGGACACATGTTGATGTAGAAGAGACGTGAAGAAGAGGGGACACATGCTGATGTAGAAGAGACATGAAGAAGAGGGGACACATGTTGATGTAGAAGAGACATGAAGAAGAGGGGACACATGTTGATGTAGAAGAGACATGAAGAAGTGGATTTTGCATAATAGGTGAACTTTAAAAAGAGTAGACCGTAATTGATCCTATGGTTGTGTTTGTCTCCCTCCCACTTGTCTACTTTGCAGTGTGCGTGTGTGTGTGTGTGTGTGTGTGTGTGTGTGTGTGTGTGTGTGTGTGTGTGTACCTGTCTTCCTGCAGCCTCTCCTCTGTGTTTGCTGCTCTCCTGGATGGCGGGGGTTTCTGCGCCCTGCTCAGAGTCTTGCAGGCCGAGGATGGAGCAGACCGCTGATCTCCTTCCTGCTACGTCCCGCCCGAGCACCACCAGCCTCAACTCTGATAGGAAAAAAAAAACGTTATTAAAAAAAAAAAAATGTTTTTGCAATACTTTAATTGAAGTTTTCAAATATAACAAACAATACATATACATACAACGGTCAGTCTAGGTGGCAGATACAGTGTACAATCAACTGAATAGGCATGTAAATAAACACAGGTCAGTATACAGATGATACAGGGATAACAAAGTACAGCAATCTGAAAGAAATCTGAAAGACTATGACGTGGGCTACTACACTTTATAATCTTATTCCCTCCCGTTACCCCGGTCTTTGGTTTTATAGATAATTACCAACATTCTTTTTCAAAAACTCTATGAAGCTCTCCCAGATATTTTCAAAAACTGCCAGCTTTCCTTTAGTAATGTATGTTAGTTTTTCTAAAACATTGTGTACTTTATAACTGTATATGCATTCTTGGAAGAAGTACTCAGATGTTATACTTATGTAGAAGTAGCAATGGTACATTTTTAAAATACTCAATGTGATCGGAGCTCCTGTCAGGATTTTTGGGGGAGATATTTGACGCTTTTGTTTATCAAGTAGCATTATTTTATTCAAATATTATGGAAAACATTGTATATTAAGTGTTCAAACTTAAAAATTGTGAAAAATACTTTAAATAATAAACTTTAAACGTGTGTTTTGGATGTTTTCTTTACTACAACAGAGAAGAGAAGACAGCTAAATTGTACAACATGAACAAGTAACTAGTGACATAGTGTCAGAGGTGGAAGAAGTACTCAGATCTTGTACTTGAGTAAAAGTAGAAGTACTCAGATCTTGTACTTGAGTAAAAGTAGAAGTACTCAGATCTTGTACTTGAGTAAAAGTAGAAGTACTCAGATATTGAAGTACCAGAGTGTAGGAATACTCTGTTACAGTAAAAGTCCTGCATTCAAAATGTAACTCAAGTGAAAGTATAAAAGTATTATCATCAAAATATAGTGAAAGTAGCGAGAGTAAAAGTAGTCATTGTGCAGATTGGTCCATTTCAGAATAATATATATGATATGTTTTATAATGATTGATCATTCAAGTGTTCTCAAAGCTGGTAAAGGTGCAGCTAGTTTGAATGACTTTGTATACTGCAGGGTAGCTTGTGAATTTACTCCAGGTGGAACTAAAGTCTGATTTAACACTTGATTAGATTTCACATCATTCATCCACATCTGTAAAGTAACTAAAGGTATTCAATACATGTAGTGGAGTAAAAGTACACTATACCTCTGGACTGTAGTGGAAACACTAACATGGAAATACTCAAGTAAAGTACAAGAACCTCAACCATTAGTACAGAACTTCAGTAAATGTACTTAGTTACACCTGTGCTAAGAGATACATGTTGTTGATTTAAATGATATGTCATGAAACTGTAACGATTTCAATTTTTTTGAAGAGGCAGCGCGCTTTGCAGCTGTCGTCTCTAAACTCAAACACGACCTTTTTATCCTTATAGTTATTTTTTGTCTCACAGATAGAATAAAGTCCTTAATATAAATATAAAAACACATCCCATCCTACCTGCAGCAGCTGTTGACATCTTGCTCCTCCGTGTTTACAGCTGATTCAGAGGATCACACTTCCTGGTTCTTGAACGCAGCAGCTGCATCCGTGGCAGATGAGAGGAGGCTCAACCCGGGGAGTCGGGGACCAGGGAGGGACCGGTGTTTAAAAATGACTTAACAGTTCCTTATCATTTCAGCACACAACCTAAAAAAGCCTTGCATATTCAAGAGTAGCATTAAGACAAACGTTAGAAGACTTGTCTATTTTGAAAACTACATGTATTCATTATGTACGTACAAGTGACCAAAAGTCACCAAAAAAACCCTGCATTTTTAAATGTTCCTGAAAATAGCAGAATTCTGACTTTCATCTCAGAAAATTCAAAACAATATTTGTACTTTTGGTCACATCCCCAAAAATGTGGCCCTAATCCTCTCCCAAAATAATGGTTTAATACAAATAAGCAGGCATATTTTTTGCCAGTATGACAGAGACAGTCGTAAGAGTTTTAGTCACAGTGGGCAGAGTTGGGAAGTAACTAAGTACATTTACTCATGTACCATCTTGAGATACTTTACTTGAGTATTTATAATTTCTCAGTAGTTGTGTACTGTGTACTTTTACTCCACTTCAATTCAAAGTTAAATGGTGTACTTTTACTCCACTACATGTATTTAATCCCTTTAGTTACTTCACAGATGTGGATGAATGATGTGAAATATAATCAAGTGTTAAATCAGACTTTAGTTCCACCTGGAGTAAATTCACAAGCTACCCTGCAGTATACAAAGTCATTCAAACGAGCTGCACCTTTACCAGCTTTGAGAACACTTTCATGATCAATCATTATAAAACATATCATATATATTATTCTGAAATGGACCAATCTGCACAATGACTACTTTTACTGTCGCTACTTTCACTATATTTTGATGAGAATACTTTTATACTTTTACTTGAGGAACATTTTGAATGCAGGACTTTTACTGTAACAGAGTATTCCTACACTCTGGTACTTCTACTTTTACTCAAGTACAAGATCTGAGTACTTATACTTTTACTCAAGAACAAGATCTGAGTACTTCTACTTTTACTGAAGTACAAGATCTGAGTACTTCTACTTTTACTCAAGTACAAGATCTGAGTACTTATACTTTTACTCAAGAACAAGATCTGAGTACTTCTACTTTTACTCAAGAACAAGATCTGAGTACTTCTACTTTTACTCAAGTACAAGATCTGAGTACTTCTACTTTTACTGAAGTACAAGATCTGAGTACTTCTACTTTTACTCAAGTACAAGATCTGAGTACTTCTACTTTTACTCAAGTACAAGATCTGAGTACTTCTACTTTTACTCAAGTACAGACCTGAGTCATGACCATAGACTGTATATGTCATGACGTACCTTTGTAGGACCGCAGACCTTATATCAGGCAACACTTGTCACATGACAGGACAGTGATTGAGCCTTTAGAGCCTGTGAAGTCCTCATTAGTGATTTTAGCTAAATCTATCCCAAGTGGGTCAATATTAACCAGAAATTCCTCTATTTGTCTGGGAAATTGAAATCATCCCCTTCATGTTGACCGGCACAGACAGAAACACTACATGAAGATCACTAACGGATCACCAAAGCCATTATAATTCATCATCTGTCCACCATGGATGTCTTAACAAAGTTAGGTGGCATCACATTTAGAAACTTGTTTAAGTATTTCAGCCTGAAACAAAGTTGTGTTACCGCCGGTATGTCTAATACAAAATCAAAGCAGAAGCTGAATTTGGGAACAGTTTTATTGTTTCCATTTTGTTAAATGCCTTACGGTTCCTCACCAGTTCAACCTAAACATGATTTCTATCACTTTTCTACAGAGCTGTCGAAGTCTAAATGCTGTATGCACGGTAAAATATCAAATGTATAAAACAGCACTTTTTACATGGTAAAAGAACAACTAAATATATTATGTTGATGATGACCAAATGACTCGCACACTCCTGTACATTTCAGTAAAAAAATCAAATACCTACCTACCTAGACACACACACACACACACACACACACACACACACACACACACACACACACACACACAGCAACACAACACACACACACACACACACACACGAGCACACGACAACCACGAACACACACACACACACACAACACAACACAACCACACCACACACACAACACACACACACATCACAGCACACACACCACAACTACACACAACACACCACACACACACACACACACACACACACACACACACACCACACACACACACACACACACACACACACACACACACACACACACACACACACACACACACAACCTGTACAGTAACATTAAAACTAAGCTCGGAGATCAACATGCTCAGTAAAATGTTTTTAAAATAATAATTCGAAAATTAAGAGAACAAGGTTTACAAAAATACACTTTAAAAACATGTTGACGCTAAAAAATATGCGGCTTTTCAGCGGCTAAGATAAGAGTTGTTTAAATTAAAGTCAGAGGGTCAAATCTGAGGATTTCTGACGTCAAATTTCGATTATCCTTCACTCAAAGCCCCGGCATGATGTAGGCGATGTTGTCCAACGTATTAGACTGTGAGAGAAAAAAAGAGGAGAGAGCTTTGTTAGAAAACAGCAGTAAAAGTGAACATATATGAAGTGTAAAAATCCCTGAATGTTTATAAAACAGCTGGAAACACATACAATTATATCTATATATATTTTTATTTTACCTTTATTTAACCAGGATATTAAAGGTGGGGTAGGTAATTTTGGAGAAACCAGCTCGAGTGCGCTAGAATTTGAAAATACACAGCCGGAAAAAATCTGCCACTTCCTTACAGAGCCCCTCCTCCAACACACACGAACGCGCACATGACCAATGAGGGCACGAGATAAGTTTGTGCACAGATGGAAGGCTGACAGGCAGGTAGGCCATCCAGTTATTTTAGCCGGGCCGGCTCAGATGATTGGTCGTGCTTTTTACAGTACTACGGCTTCCACAGATGACATTTTTTTATGGATTTTTTGTCAAAGCACTTAAGATATTCATTGCTATCGGGATGTTAAGAGCATTCCATGGAATATAACAAAAAGTGTATCTCGAGCCGGTTTCTCAAACTTACCTACCCCACCTTTAAGTGATATTAACCAGGATATTAAGTGATATTAACCGGGATATTAAGTGATATTAACCGGGATATTAAGTGATATTAACCGGGATATAAAGTGATATTAACCGGGATATTAAGTGATATTAACCGGGATATTAAGTGATATTAACCAGGATATTAAGTGATATGTGATATTAACCAGGATATTAAGTGATATTTAGTGATATTAACCAGGATATTAAGTGATATTAACCGGGATATTAACCGGGATATTAAGTGATATTAACCGGGATATTAAGTGATATTAACCAGGATATTAACCGGGATATTAAGTGATATTAACCAGGATATTAAGTGATATGTGATATTAACCAGGATATTAAGTGATATTAACCAGGATATTAAGTGATATTAACCGGGATATTAAGTGATATTAACCGGGATATTAAGTGATATTAACCGGGATATTAAGTGATATTAACCAGGATATTAACCAGGATATTAAGTGATATTAACCAGGATATTAAGTGATATTAACCAGGATATTAAGTGATATTTAGTGATATTAACCAGGATATTAAGTGATATTAACCGGGATATTAAGTGATATTAACCGGGATATTAAGTGATATTAACCAGGATATTAAGTGATATGTGATATTAACCAGGATATTAAGTGATATTAACCAGGATATTAAGTGATATTTAGTGATATTAACCGGGATATTAAATGATATTAACCGGGATATTAAGTGATATTAACCGGGATATTAAGTGATATTAACCAGGATATTAAGTGATATTAACCAGGATATTAAGTGATATTAACCAGGATATTAAGTGATATTTAGTGATATTAACCAGGATATTAAGTGATATTAACCGGGATATTAAGTGATATTAACCAGGATATTAAGTGATATGTGATATTAACCAGGATATTAAGTGATATTAACCGGGATATTAAGTGATATTAACCGGGATATTAAGTGATATTAACCGGGATATTAAGTGATATTAACCGGGATATTAAGTGATATTAACCAGGATATTAACCGGGATATTAAGTGATATTAACCAGGATATTAAGTGATATGTGATATTAACCAGGATATTAAGTGATATTAACCAGGATATTAAGTGATATTAACCAGGATATTAAGTGATATTAAGGGATATTAAGTGATATTAACCAGGATATTAAGTGATATTAACCAGGATATTAAGGGATATTAACCAGGATATTAAGGGATATTAACCAGGATATTAAGTGATATTAACCAGGATATTAAGTGATATTAACCAGGATATTAACCAGGATATTAAGTGATATTAACCAGGATATTAAGTGATATTAACCAGGATATTAAGTAATATTAACCAGGATATTAAGTTATATTAAGTGATATTAACCAGGATATTAAGTTATATTAAGTGATATTAACCAGGATATTAAGGGATATTAACCAGGATATTAAGTGTTGTACTTTACCAGGACGTTTCGAGGGCAGCCGTTGAGTTGCGGTATCTGAGCAGTGAGACAGGTCAGCGGGCCCAGAGCACACAGGATGGAGTCGAGGAGGACAGACAGGCTGCCGGACACCGCCACCATGCCCTAACACAGAGATTTAGAGAAGAGAAGATATACTTTATTGATCCAAAATTGGGAAATGTTGTTGTTACAGCAGCAGGTTAACATGCAGAGTCGGAGAGTGCCTAAAGAGCACGCAGTCAAATATACAGAATGAGTAAGAAACACTTTAATTGACCAACATACGAACCAGAAAGGAATACCAGACTCACTTATTTCAATACATAGCAAAGGAAAATCTGTTCAAATACAAGTTTTTTTCTTATTATGGAAATTCTTTGGGCTATTTCGTATGTTTTGGTTGTTATTTAGAGGAAGAAGAAGTGAGTGATCATTTTTGCAATTTTGGTTCCCTTATCTCAAAGTCTAAGGTTTTTAGTTAGAAATAATACGTTTTTGTTTTTAGAAAACATAAAATACATCTTATCATGTGATTGTTGTGAACTTTGTTTAAAGCCTATCGTTAGATTTTAACGACTGTGTTGACACTTGTATTGATAAGATTTGGTGTACTGAGTTATTGCAGTCGGCAGGAATGTTTTCCTGTATCTGTCTGTTGGGAAGATAGTGAATGTCCTCTTCCAATATCAGAGTCCACATGATAACAAAGGTATCCCGACTGTAGCTGTGAACATGACAGGATGTATGATTACCTAGAAGAGCATCAGGACTGTTTGAGGCATATGATAGCTATGTGATTAACATGATGATTCAGCCTCTATGGAGATAGACATATGACAAGCATGATCATTTCTGACGTGGAGCTAATCTGAAGTAAACATTGAATACTGCTTTCTATTCCTCCATCTTGTGACTGTGTAACTCCCTCTCTTGGATATCAGCATGTGAAGGACACTGTTCAGGAACTAGTTGATGCTCTGTATGTGATGACTACTTCCATTCTGGAGAGGATCACAAATACATGGATCCTGAGATTGAAGCTCAAGCTGGTGACGAGGGATATTTTTCTAACACTGTCCTTGTGACAGACTCACCTCAGTCTCCTGCAGCCGATGGCCAATCAGAGACAGGGATTCTCCGAGCAGCTGCAGGTGAGCGGCTGCATCGATGGGATCCACCTCAGGAACTCTAGCCGGAGACAGAGAGAGGTTTCCAGGCGCTCTGCTGGGGGACACCATCCCTGTTCCTGCTCCTATTACTTTAATGAACAAACACACTTGTTATAATTCAGTCCCGTTGATTTCTGTTGCTATTAAGTGTTTTTATAAATCACAAGGTTATGTGTTGCTTTGTTTATGAACTGGGGAAGGGAGAGATAGTATTGTTTTTATTTTTGTGAAGCACTTTGTGTTACCTTGAGGGTATGAGATGTGCTATAAAATATAATAATAAAGCTTTATTTATATAGCACTTTTCATACAACACATGCAGCTCAAAGTGCTTTACAAAATGACACATCACAAGTTAAAAATACACAACAAGAAATTCCCCTCAGATTATTGTTAAGAACTTTAAAGGTACATGCAACAAAATATAACATTTTATCAGGTTAATAGACACAAGAGCCGCTTTCACACCAAGTACTTTGCCGTACTTAGTACCCAGCACTTAGTACCCCCATGGAACTAAAGAGCAGATCGCGTTCTCACCGGAATAAGTTCCTGAGGGAAGATTTCGCAAATTAAGCCACTGACATCACTTCTTCTTCTTCTGCTTTGGGTTTACTGGCAGGCCGCAAACCACTTCACGGCGTACACTGCCACCCGAAGTCCCCGGCCGGAAGTCCCCGGAGTTGGGGACTGGCTTCAGTAGAAGCTGCTGGGACTCCCAGCAGCTTCTACTGAAGCCTTCCGAGTAAATCTCCAGAACGCCGACACCTCCTCATCTCCACTGCTCCCATGTTTTTTGTTGTGTTGTCATAAGTTATTCTCTCTCCGTTGGTGCGCGGGGCTAATGCTAATGCTAATAATGCTAATGCCAGCAAGTACAATGGCGGCTTCACAAAACTTTGGGGCGTGGTTTACAATTACAATCAGAAATTGGAACTTTTTTCTCCCCCAGGATAGTCCCACCTCTCTAGCAGGGACTAAAAAGGGGGTAAAAGTTCTCATGAACTAAGTTCTCTTTTTGGTGTGAACGCAAAATCCCAGGAACTATCGGAACTAAACGGGAAAAGTACTCCGGTGTGAAAGCGCCTAAGGAGGTAAAAGGTATGATAATAAGAATAAAATAAATAATAGTTTCTCTCTGACAGATAAGACACAAGACAACTGAGTCGATGCAACAATATAAAATGTATAAATAAAGTCGGTAACACTTTATATTAAGGTACACAAATTCACCATCAACTAGTTGTTAATTAACATGATTATTAGCAGTATATTGGCTCTTTGTTAGTCATTATCAAACGCTTATTAATGCCTTATTCTACATGACCATATTCTACAAGTACTAGGCCATTAGCTAAGAGTTTTTCCTCAATAACCCTCTAATTAGTGCTGATTTATTGTACGTAAGGAAGTTGTTGAACATGAGCTTTGGTCTTAATATGCTCAATATGCAGTAGCAGTACCACAAGAATAGTAATTCTCCCATAATAACACCTAACAAATATGATCTATTCTTATGTAACAAGACATGAAACTACAAGTGTTAATTGTGTCTAAATAACTCAAAATGAGGTATTTCTAATTCAGAATATGTTCCCTAATAAGCTAGTAGTTTGGCTTTAATACGCATGTTAATGAACAACTAGCTGATGGTGAATATGTGTACATTAATCTAAAGTGTTACCATAACGTCTGCTTGCTACCTTTGCTCTTCCCCTCGGGGGCGCTCTTGTGTTTGACGGTCGTTGCCTCGGCTTTGTTCTGTCTGTGCTGCAGATACTGAGCCTTCTGCTTCCACACCTGCACACAGAGAACACGGTTATAGCAGATATATATATATACACAGATCAGAAGAGGCTTAACAGAGAAACGTGTGCTAATATGAGTTCATATGGCAGTGGCTCAGTCAGTAGGGGCTTGGACTGGGAGCTGTAGGGTCACCGGTTCAAGTCCCCGACCAGACCTAAATATGGAGTGTGGACTGCTACTTGGAGAGGTCCCAGTTCACCTCCTGCCCTGCCGTGGTGCCCTTGAGCAAGGCACCGGACATCCCCCTTCCCCCCTCACTCCCATTGCTCCCCGGGCGCTGTACAATAGCTGCCCACTGCTCCTAGTGCTAGACTCCTGGTGCTAGACTCCTGGTACCAGACTCCTGGTGCTAGACTCCTGGTGCTAGACTCCTGGTGCTAGACTCCTGGTGCTAGACTCCTGGTGCTAGACTCCTGGTGCTAGACTCCTGGTACCAGACTCCTGGTGCTAGACTCCTGGTACTAGACTCCTGGTACTAGACTCCTGGTACTAGACTCCTAGTACTAGACTCCTGGTACTAGACTCCTGGTGCTAGACTCCTGGTGCTAGACTCCTGGTGCTAGACTCCTGGTACTAGACTCCTGGTACTAGACTCCTAGTACTAGACTCCTGGTACTAGACTCCTGGTGCTAGACTCCTGGTACTAGACTCCTGGTGCTAGACTCCTGGTACTAGACTCCTGGTACTAGACTCCTAGTACTAGACTCCTGGTACTAAACTCCTGGTACTAGACTCCTGGTGCTAGACTCCTGGTGCTAGACTCCTGGTGCTAGACTCCTGGTGCTAGACTCCTGGTACCAGACTCCTGGTACTAGACTCCTGGTACTAGACTCCTGGTACCAGACTCCTGGTACCAGACTCCTGGTACTAGACTCCTGGTACTAAACTCCTGGTACTAGACTCCTGGTGCTAGACTCCTAGTATTAGACTCCTGGTACTAGATTCCTGGTACTAGACTCCTGGTACCAGACTCCTGGTACTAGACTCCTGGTACCAGACTCCTGGTACTAGACTCCTGGTACTAGACTCCTGGTACTAGACTCCTGGTACTAGACTCCTGGTACTAGACTCCTGGTGCTAGACTCCTGGTACTAGACTCCTAGTACTAGACTCCTGGTGCTAGACTCCTGGTACCAGACTCCTGGTACTAGACTCCTGGTGCTAGACTCCTGGTACCAGACTCCTGGTACTAGACTCCTGGTACCAGACTCCTGGTACTAGACTCCTGGTACTAGACTCCTGGTACTAGACTCCTAGTACTAGACTCCTGGTGCTAGACTCCTGGTACCAGACTCCTGGTACTAGACTCCTGGTACCAGACTCCTGGTACTAGACTCCTGGTACTAGACTCCTAGTACTAGACTCCTGGTATTAAACTCCTGGTACTAGACTCCTGGTGCTAGACTCCTGGTGCTAGACTCCTGGTACCAGACTCCTGGTACTAGACTCCTGGTACTAAACTCCTGGTACTAGACTCCTGGTGCTAGACTCCTAGTATTAGACTCCTGGTGCTAGACTCCTGGTACCAGACTCCTGGTACTAGACTCCTGGTACCAGACTCCTGGTACTAGACTCCTGGTACTAGACTCCTGGTACTAGACTCCTGGTGCTAGACTCCTGGTACTAGACTCCTGGTACCAGACTCCTGGTACTAGACTCCTGGTACCAGACTCCTGGTACCAGGAGTCTGGTACCAGACTCCTGGTACTAGACTCCTGGTACCAGACTCCTGGTACTAGACTCCTAGTACTAGACTCCTGGTGCTAGACTCCTGGTACCAGACTCCTGGTACTAGACTCCTGGTACCAGACTCCTGGTACTAGACTCCTGGTACTAGACTCCTGGTACTAGACTCCTAGTACTAGACTCCTGGTGCTAGACTCCTGGTACCAGACTCCTGGTACTAGACTCCTGGTACTAGACTCCTGGTACTAGACTCCTGGTACTAGACTCCTAGTACTAGACTCCTGGTACTAAACTCCTGGTACTAGACTCCTGGTGCTAGACTCCTGGTACCAGACTCCTGGTACTAGACTCCTGGTACTAAACTCCTGGTACTAGACTCCTGGTGCTAGACTCCTAGTATTAGACTCCTGGTGCTAGACTCCTGGTACCAGACTCCTGGTACTAGACTCCTGGTACCAGACTCCTGGTACCAGACTCCTGGTACTAGACTCCTGGTACTAGACTCCTGGTGCTAGACTCCTGGTACTAGACTCCTGGTACCAGACTCCTGGTACTAGACTCCTGGTACTAGACTCCTGGTACCAGACTCCTGGTACCAGGAGTCTGGTACCAGACTCCTGGTACTAGACTCCTGGTACCAGACTCCTAGTACCAGACTCCTGGTACTAGACTCCTGGTACTAGACTCCTGGTACCAGACTCCTAGTACCAGACTCCTGGTACTAGACTCCTGGTACCAGACTCCTGGTACTAGACTCCTGGTACTAGACTCCTGGTGCTAGACTCCTGGTGCTAGACTCCTGGTGCTAGACTCCTGGTGCTAGACTCCTAGTACTAGACTCCTGGTGCTAGACTCCTGGTACTAGACTCCTGGTACCAGACTCCTGGTACTAGACTCCTGGTACTAGACTCCTGGTGCTAGACTCCTGGTGCTAGACTCCTAGTACTAGACTCCTGGTACCAGACTCCTGGTACTAGACTCCTGGTACTAGACTCCTGGTACTAGACTCCTGGTACCAGACTCCTGGTACTAGACTCCTGGTACTAGACTCCTAGTACTAGACTCCTGGTACCAGACTCCTGGTACTAGACTCCTGGTACTAGACTCCTGGTACCAGACTCCTGGTGCTAGACTCCTGGTACTAGACTCCTGGTACTAGGATGGGTTAACAGCAGAGTACATATTTCACTGTGTGTGCTGTGTGCTCTGCATGCGAGACCATTAAAGAGGGTTTCATGCCTCCCAATTCTATATATCTATCTATTCTATTCTATTAAAAAACTCACCAGCTTGTCTTTCTCTGGCATCGCCTTCCACACCTCCGCCAGCTTTTTGCTAAGCTCACCAAAGACTGCGGATCAGACACAAAAACTAAATGTAAAAAATGTGTAATATAGTGATGTTAGGACAAGATGCTTATCAGTTTAATTACTATGGAAGCATTTAGCAGATTCAATTATAAATTAAGATTTATTCCAAGTAGTATTTAAATTCCCAGTTAAATATATTTAGTTGATCAAAATTTGAATTAAAATGATAAGAAATGCAATAACAATTCAAACTATTAGCACGGGCATTCTGCGACAAAACTTTTAAAATAATAATAATTGCACTTTTTTTTTTAAAGAGGGACTATATGACTATATTGACGATATTCAAATGTTAAATATTTCAATTGTAATTTAATTATTGTAACTTAATTTCGCATATTAAGATCCGTAACCCAAATAAAAATTAAAAAAACTAATAAAACTAAACAAAATAAAAAGAGAAAATATTACATTTCCATTTAAATGTTCATAAAACCTTATTCACATTTTCTTACAATTTAAAAATGAAAAACTCCAGTTGCCACTCATAATTAAAATGTTTAGACTTTCAAAAAAGTGGAAAATTCCTGCCTAAATGCTCTTTGAATTTGAGTTAGTCCACCAAATGCTTCCATACAGTACATATACATGTGGTCCTGATTTGACCCACCTAGTCCCGGCTGTTCTGCATTAATGTTGACTCTGTACTCCTTACAGAACACCTGGTACGCTGTCGTGTTCTTCTTCTTGGGCTGAGAGAGGAAAACAGTTATTAAAGTGTTACCTTTCTAAGAAATAGCCGTCGTTAGCTGACTAGCAAACGTTGTAAAAGTCTGTTAGCAAAGTCAGAGAAACAAAACAACGTAGACACATGTTTTGGTATTTTTGTCAAAGCTACATTTCCAGTTTGACTGCATCTTTAACGACCAACCCAACGAGCAGAGAGGGTGCAAGTACACACATCCTTTACTCAAGTAGAAGTACAGATACTCGTGTTTAAAAATACTCTGGTGAAAGTAGAAGTACTGACTAAACTTCTTTACTCAAGTAAAAGTAAAGAGGGCTTTGAAATGTACTTCAGTAAAAAGTACCCATAACTAGCAGCTGTTTTAAAGAGTACCTGACCTCCCTTTATATTAATAGAACAATAATGTCATTGTTAGCTAATGAATGTTTCCATGCTGAACAACGGCAACATGACAACGTTTTCATTGGTCCCTCTTCTTTAGAGAAGACCAGGAAATGATGGATACACGGATCGTGTTCAAATCAATAGGCACGCAATGACTCTAAATAATAATGATCACGCCACCAAACACACATTCAAACTAAAGGAACCAGCCTGTTTGGGAAATGTGAGAAGTAGAAAGTACAGGTATTTGTGTTCAACATGTAAGAAGTAGAAAGTACAGGTATTTGAGTTCAACATGTAAGAAGTAGAAAGTACAGGTATTTGTGTTCAACATGTAAGAAGTAGAAAGTACAGGTATTTGTGTTCAACATGTAAGAAGTAGAAAGTACAGGTATTTGTGTTCAACATGTAAGAAGTAGAAAGTACAGGTATTTGTGTTCAACATGTAAGAAGTAGAAAGTACAGGTATTTGTGTTCAACATGTAAGAAGTAGAAAGTACAGGTATTTGTGTTCAAAATGTAAGAAGTAGAAAGTTCAGGTATTTGGGTTCAACATGTAAGAAGTAGAAAGTACAGGGATTTGTGTTCAACATGTAAGAAGTAGAAAGTACAGGTATTTGTGTTCAACATGTAAGAAGTAGAAAGTACAGGTATTTGTGTTCAAAATGTAAGAAGTCAAAGTAAAAAGTGGTCTGAAAAATAAGTAGTGGAGTAAAGTACTGATACCAGAAACATGTACTTCAGTACAGTAACAAAGTATTTGTACTCCACTACTTCCCACCTCTGCCCACGTGAAACATCTCTGAACAGCGTCTGACCTTGTCTTTGTCCTTGTCGTGTTTATCCCGATCGTTCTCATCTTTCTTCTTCTTCTTCTTCTCCGTCACCCCATCGTTGGCGGGGTGATGATGAGGAGGAGGAACGGGCGAGCTCATGGCGTACATCGGCCCCACGGCGCTGTGAGTGACGGTGGGATGGGAGTGACTGTGGCTCCTCGACGAGTCTGAGGAGAGGCACGTAAAGATAACTGTTCAGCGTGATGACGTTTAGTCGTCTCATTTAGAAACTTGCTAGCAACCGGCATTCTTAAAGGTCACCTATTATGCAAAATCCACTTCTTCATGTCTCTTCTACATCAACAAGATTCTCTCTCTCTTTGTCCTGATCCATTTATATAAAAACCTGTCTGAAAATGAGCTGATCAGATTTTGGCCACTTTGTGATGTCATAACGATGTGTTGGCTTGTGTAACCATTAGCCAATCAGCAACCAAGGTAACCCCCCCCCCCACCTTATCACCTGAATCTCCTCCTAGAGCACCATTGTGTTCTTTTTAACCAAATATCTCTCAGAGGGGCGTGGGGAGGGGCTCCTTATTTTCATCTAAAGTAACAGACAGAGAATCAGCACTTTGGAAACAGGGCCGAAACAGAGGGGATTATGGGTAATGCTGCAATGATCTGTTTGGTGTTTCAGCCAATCAGAGACAGGCTCTGGATATATGGAATATGGAAATGAGCAATGTTGGCTTTGTGACAGTTGATTGATGGGACTGTCCACAACACTATAAACAAATAAACTGAACTGAACTAAATCTACCAGTGGGGTTTTTACTGACGTATTTTATGCCGTAAATAGAAAAAAACAACAACACTCAGCTGTACCACAACTTAACAAACAGTTCTCACCTCCGAATCCCTTGCTGTGCTTCTTGTCCTTCCCACTTTTCTCCTTGTCTCTGTCTTTTTCCTTGTCCTTCTTCTTCTTGCTCTTTTTGCTCTTCTTCTTCTTCTTGGACAGGTGTGTGTACGAATCGTCTATAACCAGTTCACCGGCCTCCAGTTCTCCCCCAGAGGAAGAGCTGTCGTCTCCCATGCCTCCTCCGTAATGACCTGTGTAGCAGAGAACACAGTAAGGAATATTAATTACAAAATGCTTCCATGTTGGTTAGGTTTGTTACACAGATGTAGTTTAAATGGTCAGTTTTTAAATCAGTTTTGGAACCTGTATTTCTTCTACGTTTGTTTCACGATGTGGCTTCCTTTTTGGGGAATTGCCTTTCCTGTAGTGTTTTATTTAGGTTGTAGTGCATGTAAATGGTCTGCAAAGGCTACAATCCCTGCCTGCAACGCCTACATTGGACTCCTTTGTTTACTTCTGTAACATAGTGGCATCACTACATAACAGTCGGCTCCTATTGGCTAGCGCTCCCACACATTGTACGTGATACGCTAAGGGGCGGGACATCTCTAAGTGGTTGACCAATCAGAGCAGACTGGGCTCTGGTTTCAGACAGAGGGTGAAAAGAGGCAGTATGAGAAAAATAAAGAGCTTATTGAACATTAAAGCATGGAGACATGTAGAGACACTACATACTGATATACACCTGAACATCAGCAGGAGAGGACTCTTTAAAGTAGAGACACTACATACTGATATACACCTGAACATCAGCAGGAGAGGACTCTTTAAAGTAGAGACACTACATACTGATATACACCTGAACATCAGCAGGAGAGGACTCTTTAAAGTAGAGACACTACATACTGATATACACCTGAACATCAGCAGGAGAGGACTCTTTAAAGTAGAGACACTACATACTGATATACACCTGAACATCAGCAGGAGAGGACTCTTTAAAGTAGAGACACTACATACTGATATACACCTGAACATCAGCAGGAGAGGACTCTTTAAAGTAGAGACACTACATACTGATATACACCTGAACATCAGCAGGAGAGGACTCTTTAAAGTAGAGACACTACATACTGATATACACCTGAACATCAGCAGGAGAGGACTCTTTAAAGTAGAGACACTACATACTGATATACACCTGAACATCAGCAGGAGAGGACTCTTTAAAGTAGAGACACTACATACTGATATACACCTGAACATCAGCAGGAGAGGACTCTTTAAAGTAGAGACACTACATACTGATATACACCTGAACATCAGCAGGAGAGGACTCTTTAAAGTAGAGACACTACATACTGATATACACCTGAACATCAGCAGGAGAGGACTCTTTAAAGTAGAGACACTACATACTGATATACACCTGAACATCAGCAGGAGAGGACTCTTTAAAGTAGAGACACTACATACTAATATACACCTGAACATCAGCAGGAGAGGACTCTTTAAAGTAGAGACACTACATACTGATATACACCTGAACATCAGCAGGAGAGGACTCTTTAAAGTAGAGACACTACATACTGATATACACCTGAACATCATCAGGAGAGGACTCTTTAAAGTAGAGACACTACATACTGATATACACCTGAACATCAGCAGGAGAGGACTCTTTAAAGTAGAGACACTACATACTGATATACACCTGAACATCAGCAGGAGAGGACTCTTTAAAGTAGAGACACTACATACTGATATACACCTGAACATCAGCAGGAGAGGACTCTTTAAAGTAGAGACACTACATACTGATATACACCTGAACATCAGCAGGAGAGGACTCTTTAAAGTAGAGACACTACATACTGATATACACCTGAACATCAGCAGGAGAGGACTCTTTAAAGTAGAGACACTACATACTAATATACACCTGAACATCAGCAGGAGAGGACTCTTTAAAGTAGAGACACTACATACTGATATACACCTGAACATCAGCAGGAGAGGACTCTTTAAAGTAGAGACACTACATACTGATATACACCTGAACATCAGCAGGAGAGGACTCTTTAAAGTAGAGACACTACATACTGATATACACCTGAACATCAGCAGGAGAGGACTCTTTAAAGTAGAGACACTACATACTGATATACACCTGAACATCAGCAGGAGAGGACTCTTTAAATTAGAGACACTACATACTGATATACACCTGAACATCAGCAGGAGAGGACTCTTTAAAGTAGAGACACTACATACTGATATACACCTGAACATCAGCAGGAGAGGACTCTTTAAAGTAGAGACACTACATACTGATATACACCTGAACATCAGCAGGAGAGGACTCTTTAAAGTAGAGACACTACATACTAATATACACCTGAACATCAGCAGGAGAGGACTCTTTAAAGTAGAGACACTACATACTGATATACACCTGAACATCAGCAGGAGAGGACTCTTTAAAGTAGAGACACTACATACTGATATACACCTGAACATCATCAGGAGAGGACTCTTTAAAGTAGAGACACTACATACTGATATACACCTGAACATCAGCAGGAGAGGACTCTTTAAAGTAGAGACATGTGCATTATCCCAATCTTCGGTGCAGCTCCAGGAAGCATAACTCCAGCCTGACCAAAAAACAACATAATTTAGATGTATCTTACCCTCCACCTCCACCTCTTTCCCCACCACGGGCAGAGGATCTCTGCTCTGCTGGACTTTCTTCTTGGGCGTCTTCGAGTGCTGCGTCCGGTCTCTGTCCTTCTCCTTCTTCCCACCTCCTTTAGACGAGTGAGGAGGCGGGAACGGGAACGTCTCTCCTTCCTCCTTCTCCGGCGACATGATGAGCTTCATCTTCAGCCCGTCGGCCTCCCGCAGCGTCAGCGGCTCCTCCTTGGGGGCGCCGCCGTGAAACAGGGACGACTTTGAGGAAGAGGAGGAGGAGTGCTTCTTTGAGGAGGAGGAAGAAGATGGAGGACGGTTGTGAGAGAAGGAATGGCTGCCTTTGCTTCCTCCGCCGCCGCCACCGCCGCTGCTGCTCTCACGCTTACGGTCCTTGGAGGAGTGCGAGGAGAAAGGAGGGTACGAGGGTTTCTTGTGTAAATGGGGGCTGGGGTCTGAACCGGTGGCCAGAGGGGAGGTGATGGCCTGCAGGAGGCCCATCGCTGTGTCTGTGGGGAGGGAGGAGGGGGAGGACATGGGGGAGCGGTCTGCCGATTTGTGCTTCTTCTTGTGGGGAGGAGGGCCATCGTGGTCTGAAAGAGCGACGACAAAAAGAAAAGTTAATACAGATGCCGAGTGTTTTGATAAGATGGACCTTTATTAATTCAGTAGCAGATGATGCAACTGTACCTACCACACACACACACACACACACACACACACACACACACACACACACACACACACACACACACACACACACACACACACACACACACACACACACACACACACACACACACACACACACACACACACACACACACACACACACACACACACACACACACACACACACACACACACACACACACACACACACACACACACACACACACACACACACACACACACACACACACACACACACACACACACACACACACACACACACACACACACACACACACACACACACACACACACACACACACACACTTCAATTGCGCCGTCCCTTATACTGTCTCTTTACGTCTCCCTGGCATGGCCCTTGGAAGATGCGGCGGTGTTTGTATTTTTTCTGTCACAGGAACACGCTTTGCTGGCGGTCAAAAGAATCCCACCAGACTCCTTTGCCCCTCCAACAGAGGGATGTCCTTGTCCCTTTTCCTTTTCGTCATTTCAAGCGATAAAAACTCTCGATCTTCTCTCAAATTATTAATTTCTTTGGACGCCCTCGGCTCGAGTTCAGGGCGTTCCGAGCTGAATAAGAGCGTCAAATGACGGCAAGACGCCCCCCTGGCGGAAATGCTGGTTCCACCCCACAGGCCATAAGAATGTTAAACACCTGAACTTTTGAAAGAACATCCATAACATTCATCTGTTTGCAACTCATATATCAATATTCCAATTGCTGTATATAGACTATTCAAGGTTCAAGGTTCAAGGTTCTTTATTGTCAAACTGACATAGCTACAGAGTAATTATGCAACATAATAATAATACAGATAGTAAAAGTAATACAAAAAGAAAAATAGTTCTAAAATAAAGTGAGTATGTGGAATAGTGCAGTATGAGTCTATATACAAGTTATTGGAATTATATATATTAGATAGTAGATATATATTACTAAGTAGCAGATGAATGTTTTGAAATTGTTTCAACAGTTCAATTGTTTAACAGTCTCACTGCCCGCGGGAAGAAACTGTCTCTGAATCTTCTTGTCCTTGCCAGGATGCTGCGGTAACGTCTGCCAGACGGCAACAGAAAGAACAGTTTGTGGCTGGGGTGATGGGGGTCTTTGATAATCCGTAGGAATTTCTTCCTGAGCCGCTGGGAGTAAAGGTCCTCCATGGATGGCAGCTCCGTCCTGGTGATGTGCTGTGTATTCTGCACTGTTTCTATTATATTCTATTTTATCTGTTTCATTGTGTTGCACTGTTGGAGGAGCCTGTGACCTAAGATTTTCATCGTCATAACCACACTGTAGCTATGCACGCATGACTAATAAAAGCCTTGAACCTTGAGGTATCATCCTCTCACCTCTGTAGTAGTAGTCATCGCTGTGTTTCTTCTTCTTTTTGTGCGAGTCTCCTCCGAGCATGAACAGCTCTGAATCCTGAATTGGAATGACACAATTGCTTTTTAATTCACCGCCTTACACCAGTTAGTTTAAACGATTACAAAGTGTTAGACTGGCATAATTAGTGGCGTAATGTCTATAAGGCTTTCTGGGATTTTAGGTGAATTTAACGTGGAAAGTCGACTTACTTTTGGACGCTTCTTGGAAGACTTCCGGACCTGAGCAGCGATCTCCTCTTCCTCCCTCAACAGATCCTTGTACGACCTCCTCTTCTCTCTCTGGCTCCGACCGGCTACAAGGCCTCTTTCTCCGTCCATCACCATATCTACAATAGATTCACTGAGTATTATTATGCATTACTTAAAGGTCACCTATCATGCTATTTTTAGGCAATAGCATGGGTCTCAGATATATAAAAATATATAAAAAACATGTCTATAAAGTGTTTTGCTCAAAATACCAAACAGATCACCCATTCTAGCCATGCCTCATATCCCTCTATTTCACTTCCTGTTTCAAAAGTGCTGATTTGGGGTATAAAGCTTTAACAAAACAAAAAAGTAGGGGTCTGAGCTCATGCGGGACCCGGCAGCTACTGTCTAAACTAAATACTGCCGTGATGAAACGCCATATCATGGATTATCAAGGATTGTTTCTGAAACAGTATGGAGCTCAAAGGCTTTCTCTCTTGCCGGTTATACCACAAGGTGAGTTCCTTTTGATTTCCTGCTTCTTCACACACATGCTCTCCAGTACAGGTTAGCTCTGAGTGTTAGCGATGCTAATGTAAACACCGACCATATTACGTCCAAAACAGTCGGGCATTGTTTCTGATAGCAACTTTCTGATAGGGCCGTGGGTCCACATTTCAGATATTACATCATATCGGAAGCAAATCTGGATCAGCTCCGTTGTAGCCCCGTTTTTAGAGATTTGGGTACGGAGGAAAAGAGAGGGGGTTTAATTTTCTGACGCTGCGTGAGTTCCCTGACACACCGGGGACACACATTTATGTATGAAAGACATCAACAAGTGCATTTTGCATGATAGGTCCCCTTTAAAAATATAAAAATTGCATGACACACAGACTCTATAAAGGCTATTATACGTGTCATTTCCTGTATAAATCAGTGTTTATAACTGCAAAAAATTGCCTGTTTGATAAGCCTTTACTAGATGTAATTTACAGGTAGACATTATTACCCATTCCTCCTTTACTCTTGATCTCCTCAAAAGCCATAGCCCCTCTTCTGTCAACACGTCGATCCGTCACAGAATGTCACAATGACAACATAAGGCAGGATCCAGACCTGTAAAGTGAAAAAAGACTAAAGATTAAAGTATTGAATTTATAAAATATCTATTCTGGACAAAAACAATCAGTTCAACATTACACAAAAACAAGGCTTAATATTCTTAATAATGTAACATTACCTCAACGCTTATTACAACTACATAGGGTAGCTACTCCCAGTGGTGTAAAGTAACTAAGTACATTTACTCAAGTACACTTTGAGATACTTGTACTTTACTTGAGTATCTAACCCCACTACAGTTCAGAGGTAAATGGTGTACTTTTACTCCACTACATGTATTGAATACCTTTAGTTACTTTACAGATCTGGATGAATGATGTGAAATATAATCAAGTGTTAAATCAGACTTTAGTTCCACCTGGAGTAAATTCACAAGCTACCCTGCAGTATACAAAGTCATTCAAACTAGCTGCACCTTTACCAGCTTTGAGAACACTTTCATGATCAATCATTATAAAACATATCATATATATTATTCTGAAATGGACCAATCTGCACAATGACTACCTTTACTGTCGCTACTTTCACTATATTTTGATGATAATACTTTTCTACTTTCACTTGAGGAACATTTTGAATGCAGGACTTTTACTGTAACAGAGTATTCCTACACTCTGGTACTTCTACGTTTACTCAAGTACAATATCCGAGTACTTCTCCCACCTCTGCAGGATATAAACAAAGTATATTACAACTACATGGGTTGCTATTCCTGCTGATCTGGAGCTGCAGGTCTCCTGGACAAAACGCTGCTCTAAAGTGCTCAATGATTCCCTGCACCTTGAGGATAAACACTAGTTAAAATACAAAAATAATGTGGTCTGTTAACTACAAAGGAGTTAGACAAATGATAGCTAATAACAAACTCCCGCCTTCTTTCGTAAAGATACACAAACACACCCCTTCTCCATTCACTTTGACTCCCAACATCTCCACCACTCAGATCCGTGTCGCTGAGCAACCCCCCAGTTTTCCGGGATAAACAACGCAGGAAAACCCGAGGCTTAGACCCACAGCTAGGCCGCGGGTGTTAAAAGTGCATAGAATAATTAGGCAAGCATGCATTCAACTCTACTCAGGTCTTCATGTGCTCTGGGGTTATCGGCTGTGTTGTTTATAAACCCGAGAAAGAGAGGGAATAATGTGTTTATTTGAAATGTACTACCTTTCAGAGCTCCAATTTACGCGGGTCGAGTCGCCATCTTTTAATTTGAGAGAGTAATACGTGCCGACGTAGGGGGCGGGGTTTGGTGATGCAGCCAATCAGAGGAGGGGGGAAATAGCCGTTTCCGTAATGCATTCGCTGAAGAACTACAAACTACAAAAAGCGCTAATTTAATTTATTAATTTGACATGTTGATATTAAAATACGTATATGTTTATATATATTTAAGTGCCTTATTTATGTATAAATATTTAGTATTTATCAATTTACATTTGAATGGTTTGTTATATAACTTTTTTATGTGTTTTTATTTATTTCTGTCTTACTTTTGCTGGGTGGGTTATCTGTTGTTATTTTTTGGATAATTTAATTTTCTATATTCTCTCGCATATTATATACCTTTAAGCATGCTGCATATGTGCTAATATATTTTACTTTTTCCCCCTTTCTCTTGTATAGTGTTTGAAATTGTTAAAGGTCCCCTATTATACTGTTTTTCATCAATATATTACAGGTCTCAGATATTTACAGAGCCTGTCTCTGATTGGCTGAAACACCAAACAGATCATTGCAGCATCCCATAATCCCCTCTGTTTCAGCCCTGTTTCCAAAGTGCTGATTCTCTGGTTCCTTCTCAGGTCGATTAAATGGATTCCTTGCGTCCCTCACTTGCGTCGTTTCCCTGCGTTTAGTCCCTCCCACCAGGGATGCATGGAGAGACGCAAGGAAACCACGAGAAGCAGGGAAATGAGTTTTAAGAGCAATGGGACGTCCTTTCCTCCGGAGCGTCACGTGAAGCGACGTCCGTTTGTGATGACACCGCACAGCTGATGTCTGTCCCCATTGTTTTCACAAACACCCCCGCCTCTGTTAGTACACATTTACTGACATATACATTTGTATCATCTGTTGTAGACCCAAATACATTAAATAAAATAAGAATTCATTCTCAAAAAAGATAAACGCCATTCTTAAAATGTATAAACGAACAATAGTTGGATTAATATTGATTAGAGTGCACAATAGAAATAAAATAATTGAGAGAAGAAAAAGAGATATGTTATCTATCAAAACCCAGTTAGATTAACATTCATTGGACTGCACACTTTGTTTGTTTGTGTGGATATGTAGCAAATTAATATGTTAAATAGCACTTAATGACTGACTGAATGGAAATGACAATAAATGAAAATGTATAACGAAAAAGCGATCATGAAAATGTTTCCAATAAATAAATAAAATGATTTTTGACCAGTTTGTTGTTCAGATATATCACATATTTGTAACTGAATGATGCATTAATTGAAACAAAACACAGTATAAACTGAGGAGTGAGTCCCGTGAGTTTCATGTGTTTTCTTCACTCCGCTGGGAAACTCTGCTCTCATGTCAAGAAGCATCAGATCATTGCATGCGCTGCATCGTCCAATCAGTGAGCGATACACAGTAAGGGGGCGGGGCGAGTGTCTGAGGATTTCACCGGAGGATGGTCTGGTGGTTCCTCGGTTATCGCTCCTCCATTATCGCTCCTCGCTCCTCGCTCCTCGCTCCTCCGGCAGAAATAAGAGCGATGGGACGCTACTCAAGATGGCGCAGACAAATCAACTTCCGGTGATACCGAGACCGAGGACCGAGGAAATGAAAATAGTCGACCTGAGAAGGACCCTCTGTCTGTTACTTTAGATGAAAATAAGGAGCCACTCCCCACGCCCCTCTGAGAGATATTTGGTTAAAAAGAACACATTAGCCGCGTTCACACCGGAGTACTTTTACCCCGTACTTTTCCCGTTTAGTTCCGTTAGTACCCCTGATGTCGCGTTCACACCAAAAAGAGTACTTAGTGCCGGGAACTTTTACCCCCATTTTCAGTGCCTGCTAGAGAGGTGGTACCAAAACAGTACCAATTTCTATTGGCTGGGTGAATTGCAAACCACGCCCCGTAAAACTCAGAAAAGTTTTTTGAAGCCGCCATTGTATTTGCTGGCATTAGCATTATTAGCATTAGCATTAGCCCCGCGCACCAACGGAGAGAGAATAACTTATGGCAACAAAAAAACAAACATGGGAGCGGTGGAGATGAGGAGGTGTCGGCGTTCTGGCGATTTACTCGGAAGGCTTCAGTAGAAGCTGCTGGGAGTCCCAGCAGCTTCTACTGAAGCCAGTCCCCAACTCCGGGGACTTCCGGCCGGGGACTTCGGGTGGCAGTGTACGCCGTGAAGTGGTTTGCGGCCTGCCAGTAAACCCACCTTGGTTGGTGATTGGCTAATGGTTACACAAGCAAAATGATGACATCATAAAGTGGCCAAAATCTGATCAGCTCATTTTCAGACAGGTTTTTATATAAATGGATCAGGACAAAAAGAGAATCTTTTCTCCTGAAACTTTCAGAGTCTCTTTACACCGAGGGGACACATGTTTATGTAGAAGAGACGTGAAGAAGTGGATTCTGCATAATAGGCGACCTTTAAAGCAATTTTAGCTGCATCCTGTGTATGAAAAGTGCTATACAAATAAAGCTGATAAGTAAAAAACATTTCAACAAATATTCTTATTTATACTACGCCTATTCCTGCATTTCAACTATTCCAACACATTGATCCCATTCCTCAGCAATTTTATTATTTTGAATATTAATTTATATTTAAGTCCACATACATTTAAACAATTATAAAAAGTAACAATAACAACAGTTGCAATAACAACATTATATTTATTGTTAACACTCTTCTTTATTTAAGTATGGGCCTGCAAAATGACCCAATTTACCCCTGGGATCAATAAGGTATTTGTGATTCATTCCTCATAACATTGCATTAAAGACAATATTTCACCAGTATAGCCAAACATATTGATTTATTGAATCACATAAATCATTTCTCCAACAACTATCAAGTCATTTTTTTACAGTACGCTTCACAAACATGACATGCAGTACGAGAGAAAAGGCAACAGAGACGCTGTTCATAACGAAAACCAGAAAACAACAGTGAAAACTGTTTGAGTGAAAAACACGACTCATAATTATCCTGCAGGCAAAAAGAGAACACAAAGACACAGCTGTGACACACACACACACACACACACACACTCACACGCTTCCTCTCACACACACTGCCTCTCACACACACTAACACACACACAGTCCTTCTCTCACACATACACACTACCACACACACACACGCTCCCTCTCACACACACACACTGCCACACACACACACACTGCCACACACACACACGCTTCCTCTCACACACACAGCCTCACACACACACACACTGCCACACACACACACTGCCACACACACACACACACACACACACACACACACACACACACACACACACACACACACACACACACACACACACACACACACACACACACACACACACACACACACACACACACACACACACACACACACACACACACACACACACACACACACACACACACACACACACACACACACACACACACACACACACACACACACACACACACACACACACCACACACACACACACACACACACACACACACACACACACACACACACACACACACACACACACACACACACACACACACACACACACACACACACACACACACACACACACACACACACACACAACACACACACACATAAAGTACTATCTTATCTCATCTTATCTTATGTGAAACCCTTTCCTGTCCATTAGCTTAATGGATATCTACCACACTGCAGTACTGGGCTTTAACATTTGAGTTTTTGCTTTATTTTAACGAAGATAAGAAGCTTTATGTTAGCCAGTATTGACAGAAACACCCGGCATCATTAAGAATTAGGTTGAGGCTCGTGGAACAGAGGCTTTGTTGAAAAGCAGCTGGACGTTAACTCTCTTCTCACTTCATCTTCTACCGATCCCCCAAATTCTGTTTCTGTAGACTGAGTGATGTGAAGCTGGCCAACAGATCCGTCACCTCGTCCACCTGGGAAAGAAAGGAATACATATGAAGTTATGTACATGTAAAATATAAGTCAATTCAATTAGAAAATAATCGATATGTGAAAATCACAAGGGCGCACATTTAAGTTACATCATAAATATTAACTTGTATTTTTTTTTTTACTATTACATGCATTATTTCAAAATGCAAACTTGTTTACATTTAATATAATTAAAATAAATAAAAGTAGCATGCGTTAGTGTGTGCCTCGAATTCAAACACAGAAGAAAAACGTAATCAATTGTAAAAAAAACAGCCCAAATAATTAGGAATAACTTGAAATAAATAAAAATTCAGAACACACACACACACACACACACACACACACACACACACACACACACACACACACACACACACACACACACACACACACACACACACACACACACACACACACACACACACACACACACACACACACACACACACACACACACACACACACACCACACACACACACACACACACACACACACACACACACACACCACACACACACACACACAACACCACACACCACACACACACACACACACACACACACACACACACACACACACACACACACACACACACACACACACACACACACACACACACACACACACACACACACACACACACACACACACACACACACACACACACACACACACACACACACACACACACACACACACACACACACACACACACAGAAAATACAAAATAAATACATAAAAACAGCACAATTAATACATATATAGTTTGTTGACCTGACCTGCTCTTTGGTGCGCGTGTGCTGCAGCTGAGTGGAGATGTGCTCCAGCCTCTCTTTAGCTTCGCTCTGACCCATCAGGTTCAGATACTCCCTCAGCATCTGGATGATCTGCAGGGAAAGACACGTATAAATATCTCGCTTTCTCAAAAACTAACTACCGTATTTTCCGGACTATAAGTCTGTTTAACAGCGACTCTATAAATCAGGGCTGCCAACATTTGAGTTCAGCTTGGAGTGAGATTTTTTTTTTGGTGAACCGAAAAAAGAAACGTTCATGTGTACAGTGTTACAAATGTATTGAACATGTACAAACTAGGGTTTCCCATTAATGTACCGGGCGCTACAGTGGAATACGCACATACACAGTGTACCCGCGCTCTTACAATCAAGTGCTATTTTATAAGTGGAGGGGGGGTCCTCACCTCCTCTAGGGGGGTCCGGGGGCATGCTCCCCCTGGAAGATTTTCTTTTAAATATTGAAGTTAAATGCATCAATCTGGTGCACTTTGAGAGCAAAATGAAGAGATCTATGGATACATCTCTCAACACCCATATGAAACAGAACTGTAAACAGATTTTCTTTTTCTTTATGGATATTTTACAAATCACTCCCCTTTTAAACTGTATTCTTGTTTTACTGTCATATAGTATTTCATAACTGTTTTTCATTTATTCTCATAAATGGTGACCAAACCGTTTGAGACCCACTGAGATAACTGGACTAAAGTTAACTATCTAAACAATCAGAGAGTCCCTTACCTCACTGAGCTGTAGTTATCTCTCTCAGTCTGACAGGACAGAGCTCTCCTCTCCTTGTTTTAGAAACAGCTTCTAATATCCGTTAGCGCAGCTAGCTAACCAGATGCTAACGACAACAATGCAAATAGTGAATTCGGTAGAAATATACTGTATAATAGTAAAGTTATTCAAGATAATGCCATATTTATTGAAGATTTACATTATAAACATTCCCCAAAATTCTTCAAAAGCATATTTTTCCAAACTCCTTGCTGTAGTATGACACACAGGAGACTATTGATGTGTGTAGTGAGTTTGGTAGTAATAAGCTGTATAATAGTGAATATTATTGTATTCTCTTTTTTCGGAGTTGCACTTTGCAGACGGTCCCTGAGCACTCGTTTCTTCTCCGGCTGCGGATAGAGACCAATGTAACGTGCCCAGCTCGGAGGACGGCGCGTATTGGCTTTTTTTGATCAAAATGTGATTGTAGTTCGTTGTCCTTACCACGGTACTTAGGAGACGTCATTTGTGTCTGAATAACATTTTGTTCATGAGTTATTGATCCGTGAAATCCGAATCTCCCAATATCGTTCCAACTTCACTGAACTAAGCCAGAAGACCGTCTCATTTCGTAGACCGCTCGGTTTGCTGTTCCTTCACTTTATTTTTATATACATTTATTTTGGACGGAAACTTAGCGTGAGGAAAGGCAAGTGTGGCGTGAGTGCGTGAGATATGGGTTAATTGCGTGACTCTCACGCTCAATGCGTGAGTGTTGGCAGCCCTGTATAAATACAGTGAGATTTCGAGTGGCTAAGCTAATTAGCGGCTAGGCTAATTAGCATATCAGTATTATGTGCCGTAGCTCAATGTGTGGATTATTTTGTTTATTCAGCTCGTCAGTCGGGCAGTTAATAACAGTGTGCCATGTCTGTATTGTGTTTACAGTTTCACCAATTCATTCAACTTCAGTAAAGCTGACATCTGTGCCGGAGTTTCTTTGAAAGTGTTTAACTGGATGGATAGCTAGCTCGGTGATAGTGAGACCTTCACAGCGACACAGAGGATGAAGACTTCAGTGGATAAATGCGACTTATAGACCGAAGCAACTTATATATGTTTTTTTTCTCTTAACAACACTTTTTTTGACAAGAGCGACTTATACTCAGGTGCGACTTGTAGTCCGGAAAATACGGTAAACTAAAACCACCAGACTCAGGGACACAGGCCATAAGACTGTTAAACACCTGAACAGCTGAAAGAACATCCATGACATACATCTGTTGGTTTATTGTGTTGCACTGTTGGAGGATCTACACTGTAGCTGTGAACAAATGACAATAAAAGCCTTGAACCTTGAACTTGAATTAAGAATAGAGTTCATCAAAGGAGCTTTAAAAGCCTAAGCGAGCTATAACTCCTGTACCTGGGTGACCTCCCCTCTCAGGGTCTCGATGCTCCGCGAGTCTCCGTCCTGCAGGATGTTCAGTTTGGAGCGAGCGAGATGAAGAGGAGTCCGTCCGGCTCGGTCCAGAGCGTCCACACGGGCTCCTAAACACACAATAAAAGCACAAATCTTCAATAATTTCCATGGATTCTTGATTGTGATTGAATACAAAATCACAGTAGAGTGTTATAGAGCAGGATTGGGTCCTTAAACCTCGATATAAACTGGCATTTTAGCACGTCCGATTCCCTCATCTCAAAGTCAATGTCTATTTTTATGGTTTTTGTTAGATGAAGTCTGGGGTTAACACGAAGTGCTCCGGACTCTGTTCCCACAATTCGTAGTGTCCAAACGGCGGTACTGCAACTTCCGTATCAGTCCGTGACGTCCCCGGGCCCGGAAAGACTTTTTCCCATTGACTAACATTGGGAAAGAGACGTCTGTAAATCGTTGGATAATTTTTGTTTAACCAAATAAACTACCCAGTATGAACGTTTGTATAACAACATTAGGTCCTCAAGTTGTAAAATGCGCTAATAACGTTATTCTGAGAGTTATTTTCCTCTGCATTATGAACGCGCATCTATCCCACGGGACGGCTCGATGTGAACGAGCCTTTTGGGGAGCGTGGTTAAAGTTGCGCATGCTCTATGAGCGCACATACGGGTACTTCTCAGGCATGATGGGTAATCTGTGACGTTTCGCTCTCTCAAAAGTTGGGCCATTTTGACTTCATGCGCCAATGAGCAGCTCTCATAGGAAAGAACGAGGCCCCGCCTCCCACGCTGTATCCAGTTCTTATTATACATCCATGCTTAATACAAGCCAAGCTGTTTTCAATTAGTCATGAAATGTATGCGAACAATATGGGTTTCTTGGTTCTTTGTTGTTTTTATTACATTTATTTACTGAGAAACCGTAAAAAACACACATTTTTGCAGCATTTTTTTTTCTGCATGAGGATTTTTGTAGACTTAATAATATGTTCTAACTTACACTTAAACATTCCCTCTGGTACCTCTTTTTTGGGGGGAAATGAGAACCATAATAATTTATTTATCTCGGGTTTTGTGACAATTTCTTCATTTTAAGATGAAATAAAATAAAAGTTAAATAAATAAAAAAAATTATTTATATGAACATAATAAGTTAAAGTAAAAATGTCAAAAGAAAAGGAGGAAATAAATACAATAAAGATATTTATATACAAATATCTTATTTTAGTAAAAGGTCAAAAAATAATCAAACAGAATAAAAATATGTAAAAAAAGTAAAATAAAATGTTCAAGCTAAAATACTTACTTCATGCTCATATTTGTTTTACTGCACATTCATAATTAAACTTTGATTTTGTATACATATGCTTATTCTATTCTTTTTTTAAAGTATTTTTATTTATTTAATTCTAAAACGAACGGTCACGAATCCCAATTTCCCCCCGGGTTAAATGTTTCTGGTTGTGTGTGACAGAGCTCTCACCTCCTCTCAGCAGCGTGGTGATCACAGGCACGTGGTTGGTGCAGGCCGCTGCACACACACAGGTTAATAAGGAGAAGTTACAACACACACACACAAAGAGAAAAGAGTTTGAAAAATGCTGCTGCATGAAAACCATCACTAAAACTTTTGTTTATGTCCTTCATCTGATAACTATCTGCAGCTGTCAGAGGTGGGAAGTAGTGGAGTACAAATACTTCGTTTTTATACTTAAGTCAATTTTTCTGGTATCATTACTTATTTTTCTGACGACTTTTCACTTTGACTTCTTACATTTTGAACACAAATACCTGAACTTTCTACTTCTTACATTTTGAACACAAATACCTGAACTTTCTACTTCTTACATTTTGAACCCAAATACCTGTACTTTCTACTTCTTACATTTTGAACCCAAATACCTGTACTTTCTACTTCTTACATGTTGAACACAAATACCTGTACTTTCTACTTCTTACATTTTGAACCCAAATACCTGTACTTTCTACTTCTTACATTTTGAACACAAATACCTGTACTTTCTACTTCTTACATTTTGAACCCAAATACCTGTACTTTCTACTTCTTACATTTTGAACACAAATACCTGTACTTTCTACTTCTTACATGTTGAACTCAAATACCTGTACTTTCTACTTCTCACATTTTGAACTCAAATACCTGTACTTTCTACTTCTTACATGTTGAACACAAATACCTGTACTTTCTACTTCTTACATTTTGAACACAAATACCTGTACTTTCTACTTCTTACATGTTGAACCCAAATACCTGTACTTTCTACTTCTTACATGTTGAACACAAATACCTGTACTTTCTACTTCTTACATGTTGAACCCAAATACCTGTACTTTCTACTTCTTACATTTTGAACACAAATACCTGTACTTTCTACTTCTTACATGTTGAACACAAATACCTGTACTTTCTACTTCTTACATTTTGAACACAAATACCTGTACTTTCTACTTCTTACATTTTGAACACAAATACCTGTACTTTCTACTTCTTACATTTTGAACACAAATACCTGTACTTTCTACTTCTTACATGTTGAACACAAATACCTGTACTTTCTACTTCTTACATTTTGAACTCAAATACCTGTACTTTCTACTTCTTACATGTTGAACCCAAATACCTGTACTTTCTACTTCTTACATTTTGAACTCAAATACCTGTACTTTCTACTTCTTACATGTTGAACACAAATACCTGTACTTTCTACTTCGTACATTTTGAACCCAAATACCTGTACTTTCTACTTCTTACATGTTGAACACAAACACCTGTACTTTCTACTTCTTACATGTTGAACTCAAATACCTGTACTTTCTACTTCTTACATGTTGAACACAAATACCTGTACTTTCTACTTCTTACATTTTCCAAACAGGCTGGTTCCTTTAGTTTGAATGTGTGTTTGGTGGCGTGTTCATTATTATTTAGAGGCATTGCGTGCCTATTGATTTGAACACGATCCGTGTATCCATCATTTCCTGGTCTTCTCTAAAGAAGAGGGACCAATGAAAACGTTGTCATGTTGCCGTTGTTCAGCATGGAAACATTCATTAGCTAACAATGACATTATTGTTCTATTAATATAAAGGGAGGTCAGGTACTCTTTAAAACAGCTGCTAGTTATGGGTACTTTTTACTGAAGTACATTTCAAAGCCCTCTTTACTTTTACTTGAGTAAAGAAGTTTAGTCAGTACTTCTACTTTTACCAGAGTATTTTTAAACACCAGTATCTGTACTTCTACTTGAGTAAAGGATGTGTGTTCTGTCAGTGTGTGAGAGTGAAACCAGCACTGTTCTCTCACCCAGGTGCAGGGGGGTGTTCCCCAGACTGTCTCTCTGGTTGGGGTCCGCGCCGTGGCTCAGCAACAGTTGCACTACACACATTTGAAAAAAAAGGAGGTTAAAGTTTTCAGAAATTTGCTAATTCTACCGTTTATTTCGCTCATTTCTGTTCAAAGATTCCTCTTTCAGAACGGTACAGCTCTTCCCTCTAAATCCTGAAACACTGCACATATCTTAGTCTTTCATCATTGTTGTAGTACTTACTTTTTTGTATATTTATATTTATTGTAAGCATTTCTTTCTATTAGTTTTAATTAAAAAGTTATGGATTTTTTATTTTAACTTCTACACCTGCTTCTTATTTTTCATTCTCTACAAAGCAAATTCATTATACGTGTAAACCTACTTGGCAATAAACCTGATATTAATACAAAACGTAGAGTAAATTACATTTAAAAAACACCAACAGATTATTCAAAATAAGTGAATAATATGTTTTTTTTTATTATAAATAAGTGTTTTTTTTATGTGAAAATCAACTTATATTGTTATAAGTACTAACTCAAGCTTAACAAATCAATTCAGTAAAGGGAAAGGTACAAAATGTCACTTTGAATTGTGAATTGAAGTAAAAAGAGGCCTTTAAAGAAAGCAAAGTACAAGTTATGCTCCAACCCTGTTGCAGTATAAATGATTTCCTATCATACTGTCATGACAGCTGATTCTTATTGTTTGGTTTGTGTGTTTTTTTAACGCAAAAATCATCTAATATTGTTTATAAGTAATATTAACTAAAGCTTATTTAGTGTGTCTATTTTTTACTGCAGTGAGAGTTGCCAAAGAAATGTCGTTGTACTTTGTATGATGACAAATAAAGATATAATCTATTCTAAAGTACAAGTTATGCTCCAACCCTGATGCAGTATGGAGACACGAAGTCCCTCTCTTTCCGGTGGAGCTCCATGGGACCTTATTTCGGAAAAATTATGTATTGAAGTCAATGGGGAGAGAAAACGTATCTTTCGATCCCGTTTGAATTGTGCCATGAATTACACATATGATGTTTGTCAATCTTAACAAATAATTTCCATGTCAAAAAAGTCACAGTTTGTCGTAAAACTGTTGAAATATAAGACTATGAAAAATACGCGACTAGAAAGACTACAAATCCCAGAGTCGCGTAAGTGATGTCATTAACGTTACACATTACACTCGTGTTACTCACTGAAACCTTGTAAAGCCGGTCCCGCATGCTGGCTCTTACGGAACCGACTAACTCCCCTTTTGTGTATGTACAGCTCTCAACATGCCCAGACTTGGAGTGATTTTCAAATGTGCTAACGTGACGTCCAGCTTGGTGTTGGTGACGTGTGTGGTGCGGGACCAGAGATGTAGTTCATTGAGCGGTTTCACACAAAAAAAAGTTTTTCACAGTTTTACGAAAAAAAAAAATCTTGACTTGCAAAATTATCTTTTAAATTGACAAACATCATATGTGTAATTCGTGGCTCAATTCAAACGGGATCGAAAGATAACTTTTCTCTCGCCATTGACTACAATATATATTTTTTCCGAAATAAGGTCCCATGGAGTTCCACCGGAAAGGGGGCGACTTCGGCTCTCTATACATGGGGTGTTTCTCAATGTCGAGGACGCTTGCTTGGTAGCACATGTCTTCCGAGTCACTTGCTTCAGAAGCGAGGCAAGAATCCTTCCTAGCCTCGGAAAACGAAGAATGGTGGAACAGGCTAACAGGTGTGCAGGTGTGCGTCATATGCGAGGCCCCGCCTTAAATGGAGCGCGATTTCCGCCAAAGATTTGGAAATTGGTCCGTGCGCAAAGCATTGTGGGGATTTTAAGACCGCGGAGTCTACACATGTGCAGCCTCGAAATTTCCCGCAACGAAGTACGCCAGCCTCGGTAGAATTCCAAGTATGCTGGACATTGGAACAGTCCTTCAGGCGGGACTCGATGACGTAGTATGCTTGAAATAGTGGCTCTGGAGCAGCCTTCCTCGACATTGAGAATGGTTTCCTTTAATGCTGTCCCGATCAGTTTAACCCCCGACCCACCGATGCTCTCGTTGCCGTTGCAGGAGGAGAAATGGAGGGCCGTCCTCCCTTTGTCGTCGGCGGCACACGGGTCGATGTCGTCCTGCAGGAGCTTCCGGACTGAGAGAACACAATCAGAAAAACACAACTGTTAGAGCCAGTATTTAGTTTTTATAAGAAAGGCCACCTAATTGTGTCTGTAGTCAACACACTATAAAAGACTACAACTCCCACGGCGCCTCCTCTAAAGTGACAGTGATGGGCAGCAACCTGCTAGAAAGACGCCGTCGAGGAACAGTTTTGAACCGTCCAATTACCCTTTAAGTTATTAAGTTATAAAAGCCTTATCAAGACAGAAAGAACACCTAAGTTGTTTGTTACTTTATTTGAGTTTTGCCTCTTTGTTTTGAATATTGTAAAGGCCTCTTTTCTTTGTTGCATGTGTAAAAGTTAGTTATTTTGAGCAAACAAATCGCATAATATCATCTAATAGAATAGAATCATTTAATGTCTTTATACATGTCCACTGAAAGAAAGAAAAGCCTCTCCCTTTTAAAAAGGTGCCATCAAAACATCACAACATACGACAACAAATACACGCAGCATACATACTTATGTAAGAATAAAGAATAAAGTGCAGTCATTATTTCCAGGGGTATAAAAAAAAAATGTAATAAATAATAATAGGTATGTTTTTATAATAATGATACATATGTATAAATATACACAGTCACGTTTATTGCACATAATGATGATTAAGGGGTATGAGTTCAGGAGTTTAGTGCAATGATGGCTCAGATCGGAGGCCAAGCAACTCTTCAAACTGTAAGTAATATAAAGAAAGGAAACGAGTTAAAACATGTCTGTTCAAGGCGTCTAGTGGCTTGATAGAAAAACAAGGAAGGACGCCAAGACAACAACCTTTATTAATCATCAGACATGTTACTGCATCCCCAGCACTGTCCACGATTCAAAGGCTTTTTTGCCTAAAGCACAACAGCTACAGCGCAGCTTTGGTAAAGATAATCGCAAGTGTCAGGCTCCTCCTATCATGCAACATATACCTAAGGCAGGGGGGTCAAACTCGACCTCATTTTATGTGGCCCCACAAGAGCTTGCAAAGAATATAATATTCAATACAATTGGTGTAATTGTTGAATATTTGCTTTCTATTATTTGCCCTAGACTTCTGCTTTCAGACGTAGTTATTTATGAAGTTATTACCGGAACTGATAGATTAGATTAGATTACTTTATTGTCATTACAAAAATGCAAGCACAGTGTAACGAAATTAAGGAGGGTCTAACCAGAGTGCAAAACAGTCAGTTATATACACAATTATCAGTAGTATGTACAAAATAAATGATACGAAAATAAAGGTAAATAGATGGGAAATGTATAAATAAGAATGGCTATGGAGGGGAGTGGCATCTTGATGATGCGTTGATAATAATCCAATGCAGAGCCAATAATGTAATATAATACATTATTTAATACATATTATATATTAATATATGTATATTTATATAGGGAAGCAAAGAGTGTGCAAAGCTGTCATCAAGGCAAAAGGGGGGTCATTTGAAGAATCTCAAATATAAATAATATTCTGTTTTCTTTAACACTTTTGTGTTTACTAGATAATTCCATATGTGTTCTTTTATAGTTTTGATGTCTTCAGTATTCATCTACAATGTAGAAAATTATTAAAATAAATAAAAACCTTCGAATGAGAAGGTGTGTCCAAACGTTTGACTGGTACTGTATATTTATATAGTTGCAACCGGCCCTTTGAGTGTAACCATAATGCTAATGTGGCCCGCGATGACATTGAGTTTGACACTCCTGACCTAAGGCATACAACAAAACTGGTGCTAGTGAAATGCATGAAATAAAATAAGATGATACCAAATGTAAAATAAACGCTGTATAGTGGAATAAAATACGTCTTTTTGTAATAATATATAAATATGTGGACTGTTCACCTGTGTCGATGTCGTTGCTGTTTGCTGCTTCCCTCAGTCGCTTCACCGCTGGGGAGATAAGATATTCAAAGTGATAGTGATGTAAATATTGCTTTACGACTGGATGAATGGGAACAGATTGACAAACACGGGCTAACACTGGGATAGTTACGAGCTTCTCTGAGCAACACATGATATGCTTACATGAGACGATGCAAGTACCTTCAATTGGGGCAAAATTCACAAACTACAATATTAAATGAATATGAAATGTATTTGTTGGTGAGAAAAGCAGAATAATTATATTTTGAAACACTTTGGAAATGTTACTATTGATACTTGAAGTACATTTAGCTGATATTATTTCTGTATTTAGGGAATGCATTCAATTCAGGACTTGGACTTGTAATGGAGTGTTGTGGGAGCGTAGTATTTCTACTTTTACTTACGAACCTGAGTACTTCTTCCACCACTGTACACACATAAAGGTGAGCTTGATTTGTTGCAGGTATTTTGTAGTTAAACAAATGTAGCCTACACCTAGCTCTGACATCCTTTACTTAAGTAAAGTAGAAATACTATGGACTTAAAATACTCAATTACAAGTACAAATCCTGAATTAAAAATGTTGAGTAGAGAAGTATTATCTGCTAAATGTACTCCAAGTATAAAAGTAAAAGTACTCAGTTTTCAGAATGGCTCTTTTCACAGAATCATATTATTTTAGAATAGTGTTATTATTTTGTTAATCAGAAACAAATAAATGTCACATATTTTTAATCTTGAAGTCTGTCAGAGTTGAGCCAATTCAATTAACTTTTTTAAATACCTGGTACATTTTTAGAACAGTACTGCATCATGTCATACACATATCGTGTGTAATTATATGTACAAAGTAGCTAGTAACTATAAGTGTTAAATAGATATAGTACAATATTTGTCACTTAAATATAGTGGAGTAGAAACAGGACAACGTGGAAATACTCAAGAGGAAGACAAGTATGTCAAAATAGAAAGTACTTGAGTAAATGCCCTTTTAATAGTTTTGTTCATTTTTCTAGTTGAGTTAAATGTGACTGAAACTGAAAGATTCACAATAAAGTTGACTTTGAAAATACTTTGTAAATGCACTTTAAATTGTTTGGTTTATTTTTCTAATTAAATGAAATGTTACTCACCATAGATATCTTTCCCCAGAGGCCCCAGGTTTCGGCTCAGCCTGTGGTTCCTCCTGCAGCTCACCTTCCCCGCCCGGCTGCTCAGAGCCTCGCCCCCCCGCTCCCACAGCAGGTGCAGCACCCTCAGCTCTGTGTCGTCCCTCTGACCGACCCGACCCAGAACCAGCTTCCCCTCCCCGGTGCCGCTCATCCCGAACCCCACAGCAGCAGAAGAACCAGAAGCAGCAGAAGCAGCGGTTCCTCCAGAGGGGGCCATGCTCTCTCCCTCCCCTGCCTCCAGGCTCCCATCCTGGGCTCCGGGCTCCAGCATGTACTCCCCCTCGGAGCTGGAGCGCTCAGTATCCGAGGCCACGATTGGGCTCCACCCGTCCATATTTATGGATGTTTACACTACTAGAGAGAGAGAATCAGAGTCAGAAACTGAAACAGGTCGCATTATATAACCACCACGGCCCCTAGTAGACCCCCAAACACACACACACACACAACAACACAGACTATAAGATAAGATAAGACTTTATTTATCCCGAAGGAAATTGTTGTGCCAAAAATACAATAAACACAGCAGCATAATAATAAAACTGTACACTAACAGTGCCGTAAAAAGAGCAATTAAATATCTACAGGAAACATAGAGGGTCACATAATTAATGTAAATATTACCAGTAATTAGTAGTGCAAAAAAAAAACGTAGTGGCAGATACGTAATTGCACGTTTATCATAGCACATTGTTAATAATAATAATATTGCACATGTTGTATAGCAGAGTGTTTTGTAATGATGGTAATGGTATTTATTTTTGCACATAGTGGTGGTGTGGAGGTTCTCAGTTCACTTTACTGAAGGGTGATACTGATAGAGTTTAAAAGGTCCATCTTCTCTTATCTTACATACGAGGAATTTGCCTTGGAGTAAATACTGACAACACAGTTAGGGAAGATAAAAAGTAAGAAAAACAACCCAAAAATCAAATGTAATATTCACTGCTGACTATAAAACTAAAATCTGGATATACCCAAAAACGATGTACAGTATGCTATTGCATAGTACAACACAGACAACAGACAGACAGACAGACAGACAGACAGACAGATAGAGAGAGACAGACAGAGACACAGACAGACAGACAGACAGACAGACAGAGACACACAGACTATTGATCCCAAAGTTAGGAAATGATGTTGTCAAAGCAGCATTTGACAGTCAACATACAGGAATTACAAAATGACTAAAATAAAATAAAGATAAAGACTAAATATGTAAAAACAATACATACATTTTCTCAGTAAAAACTACCTATAGTCAGAGGAGTATCTAGACATTATAGAATATACAGAATACATTTGAATACTCTCTAATCTACTGTACATATAAACATTGTACTGAAACCTCTACTACTACTGCCAAAGAAAAACAGGAAATGAAGCCGTCGGTAATACCTTTCAACCATGGAGCCATTGCACGGGAGGTTAGTCCAAACTGCCCCAAAAAAGTGCTTATATTCCGGGTTATTTGTAGTATTTTCACACCCTTCCTTCCAGCACCAAAATGTCCCCTATTTCACATTTTCCATTATCGGGTAAAGGTATTAAAAAGCGCTCCCATTGGACAGTCAGCAGCTCTGAGTCAGTGACAACCAATCAGAGTCCGTGTTGTTCAGTAGCTCCCCTCAAATAGAAGCGATGGAACCGGGCAGCCAATCAGACACGTTGCTTTACACATGCGCACTGTGTACAGGTTGAAATCGGAATTTATTTAATATTTTTCAGGGACAATTGTTCCATTAACGATTTAAAAAATATATATAAATACAACATAAATAAAAGAATATTTATATTAAAATAAGAAGTCGAAGTAACAATTTTGGAATAAAAAGAGAAATAATAAAATATATATTTAAGTTAATAATGGTCCACAAAACACATTTATTTCATTTAAAAACAGTCTTTTTAATATATGTTTCATCAGGTTACGTCATGTAAAATGTAGAATGCATAATCGTTTTTTAACACCCACCCTCCACCTATAAAGCTTCAGATAATTTAGATTTAAAGTAGGATCAGTAGGATGTTATTCTGTCAAGGTATTTGGTTTTATGGACAGAATCATTATATTCTGTATATATTCATGGATGCAAAAACAAAAAAGAATGTATATAATATTGCCAGAAAAAGTATATATTTATTCTGAATGACATTGCTGCTCAGTTGCTCAAACTAAGGATGTAAAATAGACTTCTTTACATCACAAATACATCCTTTATGCTCACATTTTAAACATCTTTTTCACAGGTATAGTTAAAAGGGATATCACTGTTTAGCTCGCTGTAATAATTAGTCTTATGGTTGCATTCGCTGGTATCCTCCAAAGATGGCCGACATGCTGTTGACGCCGTCACATTCCCAATTGTTGTGAAACTAAGGCAGTAAAAATAGACTATCATACTTTGGTTTTTAATTGATGACACATCTCAATGATTGAAACGGACAGTGAGACAAACCTCAGCTCCAGTCTCAAATTCTAAACACATGTTCTACTTTGCAAACAATTTACAATTCACCGTGTGTCTCTATCCTCACGCTGCACACGGTTCTGTGGACGAGACATGAAGTCACTTTCCTTTGTAAAACTCTGCAGTATCAGATCAGACAAACACTGCTGGCTGCGTGGACTCATCATCAGGAGCTCACACAGAGCACAGCTGACTTCCTGTTTACAACAACAACGTTAGCCAGCATAGCAGCGAGAGGTGTGCTATCCAAAACCTGTTTCACCAGTTCTTGTTTTCTTTAGGCGCTTTCACACCAGAGTACTTTTCCCTATACTTTTCCCGTTTAGTTCCGATAGTTCCTGGGATTTTGCGTTCACACCAAAAAGATAACTTTTACCCCCTTTTCAGTCCCTGCTAGAGAGGTGGTACTTTCCTGGGGAGAAAAAAGTTCCAATTTCTGATTGGCTGGGCGAATTGCAAACCACGCCCCGTAAAACTCTGAAAATGTTTGTGAAGCCGCCATTTTATTTCCTCGCATTAGCATTATTAGCATTAGCCCCGCGCACCAACGGAGAGAGAATAACTTATGGCAACAAAAAAAATAACATGGGAGCGGTGGAGTGATGAGGAGGTGTCGGCGTTCTGGCGATTTACTCGGAAGGCTTCAGTAGAAGCTGCTGGGAGTCCCAGCAGCTCCGGGGACTTCGGGTAGCAGTATACGCCGTGAAGTTGTTTGCGGCCTGCCAGTAAACCCAAAGCAGAAGAAGAAGAAGTGACGTCAGCGGCTTCATTTGCGTAATCTTCCCCCAGGGACTTATTCCGGTGTGAACGCGATCTGCTCTTAGTTCCATGGGGGTACTAAGTGCTGGGAACTAAGTACGGCAAAGTACTTGGTGTGAAAGCGGCTTTTGCTGTTTTGGAATACGCTCTGATCTGATTTTCACTGCAAAATGCAACATTTCTTTGGGATGTTTCTCCTTCTGGACCTGGAAGATAAACAGGAAAACACTTTTATTAAATAACCAACAATCACTTCATACAGAGGTCTTGTAAATGTAGTGACTCTGCTACTGATAACATCTGCTCTGTGAATCACTTCCTGTCTTCTGCTTTAAGGAAAACTGAGATATTTATATTCCTCAGAGGTGGATTTTTATTCACCTAAAGTATTAATATGTATGTACTGTATGTACTTATACAATATATATGTACTTAATATGTAACAGCTCCTCATGAATCACCTAAACGACTACACCTATGTTTTATATATGTTATTGAATCATCCAAAATGTTTCAGAGACATTTTAATGTTTCTGTTAGCCTGACACCATCTTACACATAGAGGCATTATATTATATATGTCGTTTTAAAAAAAAAAAAGTATTCTTTGGTCCTGTTATAGGATTACCTGTCTGAAGATTCAGGTGCGTTTTCAGGTGAGATGGAACCTGAAGCCTGGAATTAAGAAAGGCACAAAGTTAGTTTTTGGAATAAAAATCAAGCTCAGTTCAATGAACACAAACTACAATTCCAGAGCAGAACATCGTGAGACAAAATAAAAAATCAATTGAGTCTACACAGTAGAACTAGCCAATCACAGTAACAGCCAATCACAGCGCAGCAGCATCATTTTTTAAATTGTAGTTCCTCTGTTCTTTATTTATGTTTCTTCTCTTTGCAACAACAAACCACAACAAATTCCTTGCATTGAAAAACCTGATTGGCAACAAACTGAATCCTAACTCTGATACGAGTTGGTAAATTAAATGTCAGCAGAATTATGGTGACAAATCTTTGTTCAAGAAAAGCTTTCAGTGCAAATGATTGTTTATTTTTAATGGCAGATATACAGTCAGTTTGTTTAATATTGAGGACAGAAAGTCTCTCATCATTCTTGATCATTTTCCAAAATGCCTCCACGCTCCTCTTCACGTCTCAAACACGCCCCATCATAAATAAACTGTGAACAAATCAAACCTGAGCTGCAGATTTGTCTGGATCCCAGAAAAACACTGACTAATAACTACATTTTAATCAGTGGTGAAACCTCATCAATAAACTCCACACGGTGCAGCTGCTCCTCTCTCACCTCTCTGTGTGTCTTCACTTCCTGTTCCACAGCAGAGTCACCTGATGGAGGGAAGAAGTGACAGAGAAAAGACATCAATAATAATAAAACTTAAACAAAGAGAAACATTAGAATCCAAAATGATTGAGAGAGCTGTAACAAGATGGAGTTAAAACATGTTTGAACCTTTTAGGATCAGAGTTTATTGGTTTGATGAATGGAGGATATGGTTTCAGTACTCACAGTTCTTCTGGATCTTGGCTGTGATTATCTTATCTCTTCTGATCCTGTAGGGATGAACACAACGCAACAGTTATGGATCCAGTTTAACCTGTTCCACTCTGAGCCTGTTTTTCAGGTCTCAGGCTCGAAAATGACATTCCCAGAACAAATGACCATATCTTCCCTTCTAAAAGGGTTAAATTAATAATCTTTTCTCAAAGTAATGATAAACCTGTGAGTTGGATGTAGAAGTGTCAGAATCAATATAAATGTTTTTTATTTTAAAGAAAATTCAGATTTTACATAGTAAAAAACTGTAAATTATAGTGTCCGTCCAAAAATGATTTTTTACAGATAGTGAAAACTACCCTTGGATGATGGGTTAGTAGACTAAAAGCTTTAGGAATCCAAAGTACAACATATAATAAGTACCCTGTATCAAGATTGATGCAAAACAAGTGAAATTTGACCTTTTTAGAGAGATTTAGCCAAAAACTGGGCCATCTGGGGTCATTTGGGTGGATTTGACCTATCTCTGGCCCCCCTTGCTCGATCTGGTTGGTTGACATACCCTTGTGACCGTTAGAGCCAATAGAATCGAAGGAGGAGACTCACATAGACACACATTATAAAGAAAAAATGTTGCCGCTTCGCGTGTGGAAAGCGAAACTAAACTGGAGGAATGTCTCCTTCTGGAGTTTGGAAACTAAAACGCAGTTGTATTGCTTATGGATTATCAGAAATAATTTCAAAGAAGGCACAGACACATAGGATGAACCTATGGATTAACTGCAGCATCGTTTTTTTATCGTTTTAATGCCATTGAAGACCACTTTTGACCAAGGTGAGCCATATTTACATGTTTAGCTTCTTGGCTCCACATGTGATGATGTACGCTTTCGTTGATAGCGTCGCGAATGTTTATCACTGAGTGTTGAGGTGGGCACCGTTAGATTCAGTGTCTCCAGGACACCAAAAATAGTGTTTGGTTGTGCATCTAGGATAAGTAATAAGGGAGTTCTGAGTGAGTTTATGTGCCTTTGTCGGTCCCGTTTTTTCGATCGAGGCTAATTCAGAGGCTGAGTGCTAGCATTGTGGGTTTTTTTTGAAAAAAAAAATTAAAAAGATCAGTTAGCTGAGTTTCTTCCCGTTACATGGATATAACACATTCATAGTTTTATTCAATATTAAGATTCCTTAGACGTTGTTTCCTGCAAATGACGCGTTTATCCGCCCGGTACCGGGGGGAAGGCGTGAAACAGGTTAAAATAAGTGTTTGTTCTTTGAGTTAGTCAGCTTCAAAGTCCTGACTGATCTAAGGCTTTACATCCCATCATATCTTCTCTGCAAACACTACGACTGACTGCTCTCAGCTGCATCAGAGCGAATAACTGCTCAGTAATCTAGAAACATGAAAGGAAAACTTTGTCACTCTTCTGTAAAATCCCATATGTCTGTTAGAAAGTTGCTTACTAACTAAATGTACCTTTGCTTACAATATATTGTTTTGGAAGAAGAATAAAAGAAAGAACCTGCAGTCAGTGGGTAACATCACTGACTTGTTGTGATCCCAGTGAGAGAAACACATCCACCTCCCTGTGACTAATACAAAACTGCTGAACCAGCAGAGACCCCTTACTGACCTGAGAGTCTCCAGTCTGCAGTCTGGACTCTTCAGAAGATCTCTCAGCAGATTCTCTCCTGAATCCTGCAGATAGTTGCCTCTCAGGTCCAGATCTCTCAGATGGATGTTGGACTTCAGAGCTGAAGCCAGAGCAGAACAGCTGATCTTTGACAACCAGCAGCCTCTCAGACTGAATAAAGAAAACATGATGTAACTTTAGAAAACAAAGTTCCTATTTGAAATAACTCAAGCTTTAATAATCTGCTCAGAGATGAAGAAGGTTAGAAAGTGGAAACTCCAAACAGGTAAAAACTGTAAGAGACAAAAAGTGAAAAGATCTCTCATTAATATTAAAGACAACGTGCTTCTCCTTCAATAATAAAGAGGTGACTTCACATCTGAAACTCTGCTCCATCTACACAAACTCATGATGTGCAGCCAGACAAATAAAACCCACAGAAACTGATTCAACTCAAGATCACAACGTTTACAAAGATCACAAATATTTCAGGATGAGTTTTGAAGAAATGTGAAGAAAAACATCAATATTTATTTTAGGAATAGTGGAGTCATCAAATCACAGCATCTTCAGTGTAAACTATTCAGTCAGTAAAAGCATCGTGTAGCTTGAGAAAACAGAACAGATATTAGTGTTCAGGAGTTTTAATAGAAATATTAATTTGTTGTATCTTTTAATATAATGTATTTAAAGCACGCTGCAGAATATAAGAGGGAATTAGGATCCAGTTTAAAATAAGAGTTTGTTCTTTGAGTTAGTCAGCTTCAGAGTCCTGACTGATCTAAGGCTTTACATCCCATCATGTCTTCTCTGCAAACACTACGACTGACTGCTCTCAGCTGCATCAGAGGGAATAACTGCTCATTAATCTAGAAACATGAGAGGAAAACAAAACAGAGTATATTTATCACTCTTGAGTAAAATCCCAAATGTCTGTTAGAAAGTTGCTTTCTAACTAAATCTGGCTTTGCTTACAATATATTGTTTTTGGAAGAATAAAAGAAAGAACCTGCAGTCAGTGGGTAACATCACTGACTTGTTGTGATCCCAGTGAGAGAAACACCTCCACCTCCCTGTGATTAATACAAAACTGCTGAACCAGCAGAGACCCCTTACTGACCTGAGAGTCTCCAGTCTGCAGTCTGGGCTCTCCAGAAGATCTCTCAGCTTCTTCACTCCTGAATCCTGCAGAGCGTTCTGACTCAGGTCCAGATCTCTCAGATGGATGTTGGACTTCAGAGCTGAGATCAGAGCAGAACAGCTGATCTCTGACAACATGCAGCTCTCCAGTCTGAATAAAGAAAAAAAGTGAAAAGATCTCTCATTAATATTAAAGACAACGTGCTTCTCCTTCAATAATAAAGAGGTGACTTCATATCTGAAACTCTGCTCCATCTACACAAACTCATGATGTGCAGCCAGACCAATCAAACCCACAGAAACGGATTCAACTCAAGATCACAAAGTTTATAAAGAAGACAAATATTTCAGGAGGAATTTTGAAGAAATGTGAAGAAAAACATCAGTATTTATTTTAGGAATAGTTGAGTCATCAAATCACAGCATCTTCAGTTTGAACTATTCAGTCAGTAAAAGCATCGTGTAGCTTCAGAACATATTAGTGTCTTCTTTGACAGCAGGGTGTTCAACACAGTAGGCTGCTGTTCCCAAAAACGCTCCAACATGTCCAGGGAACTGTTCTTGTGAAAACATCATGCACTAGCTTGTGGTGAGGCAGGTGTAACTGGATCTGCATTTCACAGAGAGCTTTAGTTGCTTTTGGGCTTTTGTGGAAATAAGTCACCACCTTCCTCATTTTCACCAGAAGCTCTGACACCCTTTCCACCTTCAGGGCTTTTTGGGAGGCCAGGTTTAGTGTGTGCACGATGCATCGCACATGTGGCTCCATCTGTGCACCAACTCCAGCCAGTATCATGTTTCTTGCATTATTGGTGACCAACGCTGGATTCTTGTCTTCAATTTTCCACTCGCAGCTAACTTCTTGCAGTAACACTGCTAGATTATTTCCTGTGTGGGCCTCGTTGAACACTCTGGTCTGCAGAACATGGTCATGGTCATCAATATAGTGTGCCGTGACCATGACATATGAGTCAGTGGCGCAAGACGTCCAGCCATCAACTGTAATTGCAACTCTTTGGGCATTGCTCACCGAGTCAACTAACTCTCTTCTCACTTTGTCATACAGAGCAGGGATTTGTTTCTTGGTAAAGAACCTCCTATATGGTATATGGTACCTGGGCTCCAAAATGTGGAGGAGGTATTGGAAGCCCTCATTCTCCGTGACACTGTACGGCTGGATATCGTTACAGATAAAGAAGGCGATGGCGTCAGTTATTGCCTTGGAACGGGTAGAACTGTTAGCCAGCGGAGCCTGAAAAAAAGTTGCGATACGCTGCTCACCAGTCTTGCTGCCGCCAGGGATAGCCGGGTTAGCTTCAGCTGAACCCGAGGAGGATGGGGAGGCAGACGTACTATCCACCCCATGTCGCCTCTTTACTGTAGGTGCGTCGCTAAATTCGTTGTACTACTCGTGTACTTTATAGCGGCACGGCATAGTTTGCAAATTGCTTGTGATTGATCAAGATGTCCGTCATTTTTGAAAAATCCGAAGTGTTGCCAAACGTTTGATTTATATTTATTTTTCGGTGCGCTGTGTATTTCTTTGTCCTCGACTTCGCTTGCTTGTTGATAACTGTGACGCGGCTCTCGGGCTCCGTAGTGGCGAAGCAAAGATTAAAGATCGCCTCTGCAGAGTGCTGACACGAGTGGATGAGTGGATAATATTATATATGTGAATGAATCGGTTTTTACCGATGCAAAGAGACGCAACAATCGATGCATCGTGAGTTCAACCCAAACTGTAGTCGATGTGCACTCTTTCAACCGGTGCACTCGCATCTTGAACGTTTATGCCGGTGCAACGATGCAAATCTGTGAATCTTATCATCCCTAGTTTGAACTATTCAGTCAGTAAAAGCATCATGTAGCTTCAGAAAACGGTGGAAATATTAGTGTTTAGGATTTTTATTAGGAATATTAATTAGTTGTATTTGTTATATAATTGATTTAACCTGTTAAGCCCGATGCCCCGCCGGCGGGGGCAAAACACAACAATATTCACGAAACTGTGTCTCAGGGCTTCTTAACATTATTAACAAAAGCACATAATTCACGATAGCAATATGTTATACTTCATGCAATCTGCACAAACTAATGATGATATATGAAAGCTGAGATTCCACAGATTCCAATGGTATAAGTATCATCACTGTGCGACCAAAACTCAGGGCAGCGAAGCCAGAAAAGACAACACACAACTTCACTTTACAGGGCCAAAACGGCAAATACGTCTTACCTGTTTTCTGATCAAAAGTTGTGTTCAATGGCATTAAAATGCATAAAAACGCTGCTGAAGGTTAATCCAATGTCTCTGTGTCACTTTGAAATGACTACTGACAATCCATCATAACATTTATAGTAATAAACCTAGTTTTCATATAGAGTGTAACATAGCTTTCGGTTTGGGCAAACTGCGTGCGCATCACTCTCACTCTTTAATGGTAATGTTTAGGTGGATTTCTATTGGCTCTAACGGTTCAAAAATGGTGTGAATCATCAAAATCAACCGATGGGTCCCAGAGATATGGCAAATTTCCATGTAAATTACTGCTTTATTTTATTGCTATTTAACTATATTTTATTACGGTGTCCTTAAAGATTTTTTGTTTTGTATTAGATTTCTTGTTTTATATTTTATGTCTGCACCATGAGATCAAGTCAAATTCCTCGTATGTGTGAACCTACCTGGCAATAAACCTGTTTCTTGGGGTTTAACAGGTTAAAGCATTCTGAAGAATATAAGATGAGTCTCAGGTGTTTGAGATGAGTGAATTATGCAGGGTAGGATAGTTAGCATTAAGATACTCAGTGAGGATCAGAGTGATATCAGCCTGATGTCTGCAGCTCAGAGTCAACACAACTCTCTTCATCTCAGCACAGAAGTAAAAGATGGAGAACTGACCTGAGAGTCTCCAGTCTGCAGTCTGGACTCTCCAGAAGATCTCTCAGCAGCTCCACTCCTGAATCCTGCAGCTTGTTGCCACTCAGGTCGAGCTCTCTCAGATGGATGTTGGACTTCAGAGCTGAGGCCAGAGCAGAACAGCTGATCTCTGACAACCTGCAGTTCCTCAGTCTGAATAAAGAAAACATGATGTAACTTTAGAAAACAAAGTTCCTGTTTGAAATAACCTCAGGTTTAATAATCTGTTCAGAGATGAAGAAGCTTTAATGTCAACAATGATGTAGAAACAAATCCCTGATAACCTCAAACTCTCTGCAGCAGTTTCTCTCATCAGATGTTTAACAACTCCTTCATCTCCCCCACAGCTCATCAGTACTGACAGCATCTTCACTGACTCATGGAGCACAGAGTGAGTCTGTGGAAGCTCAAACACTCTCCTTCATACATTCACCTTCTCTTATATTTTCAAGGATTCAAGACTTCAAGGCTTTTATTGTCCTTTGTACATAGCTACATGGTAGTTATGTCAATGAAAATCTTAGGTCACAGGCTACTCCAACAGTCCAACACAATAAAACAGATACAATAGTGCAAGTAAATACAAATATTCAGGCTTTAGCAAAAACAGAAGAAAATAATTTAAATTTATTTGTTCTCTGTAAATTCTACAAATTATGAACATAAAAAAAAAAAAAAATTATTACAAAGATATTATTATATCCAGTTATTGAACTGACCTGAGAGTCTCCAGTCTGCAGTTTGGACTCTTTAATCCAGAACTCAGCAGCTTCACTCGTGAATCCTGCAGAACGTTCTTACTCAGGTCCAGCTCTCTCAGATGGGAGGGGTCCGACTTCAGAGCTGAGGCCACGAATTCACAGTGAGTCTTTGAGAGTCCACAGTTAATAAGTCTGTCACACAAATATTACATAAAGAGTCATCATAAAGAGAGGACACATTATATCAACTTCATGAATTTCATGAAACAAGTTCATGTTCTGAGTAACATTTAATATTTGTCAACTTAATATAATAATAGTTTTCTATATTCATTGTCAGCCTGTCAGATCTTATTTTAATCTCTTAAACATTGTGGTAAAAACAGATGTGATGTTGAACAAACTGAATGATATCTGAATGACTGCATTCACTGGTAACTGTAACATACTGCTGTATGTTGTGATCACATGCTGCTGTGAGAAACCCTCGAAAGTCCTTCATTTGTTTGACAAGGAATATGAAGAGAACTAAAAACTGTAAAAGGCAGCAATTATTATAACTAGAATAACTGATATTTGAAGAACTAAACTTCTGATCTAGTTTATAAAGTTAATCACATCTGGACTCACACAGCCTTTCTGCAGTTCCTCACAGCTGGAATCAGTCTCCGTCGTCCCTCATCTGATGTTTTGTACTTCCTCAGGTCAAACTCATCCAGAACCTCCTCTGACATCTGCAGCATGTAGGCCAGAGCAGAGCAGTGGATCACAGAGAGTTCCTTCTCTGATCTGTTCTCTGACTTCAGGAACTCTGTGATCTCCTGATGTACTGAGTGGTCCTTCATCTCTGTCAGACAGTGGAAGATGTTGATCATCCTGTCAGGAGAGATATAATCACTGCTCATCTCCTTCAGGTTGTTGATGGCTCTCTGGATGATTTCTGGACGGTTGTCTGTGCGACCCAGCAGGCCTCCTAACAGTCTCTGGTTGGACTCCAGAGAGAGGCCGTGGAGAAAGCGGACAAACAGGTCCAGATGGCCATTTTCACTTTGGAGGGATTTCTCCATGGTACTCTGTAGGAAGACATCCAGGGATGGGTAATCCTGATCACTGCTGTTGTTATAGTCTCCGTACAGGAAGTCCTTCAGTACCGCTGCGTTCCTGTTGGTGTAACAGTGCAGCATGTAGACTGCAGCCAGAAACTCCTGAATGCTCAGATGAACAAAGCAGTAGACTGTTTTCTGGAAGATCACACTCTCTCTTTTGAAGATCTGTGTACAAACTCCTGAGTGCACCAAGGCCTCGGTGACACCAAGACCACAGCGCTGCAGGTCTTCTTGGTAGAACATGATGTCTCCTTTCTCCAGATGTTCAAACGCCAGCCTCCCCAGCTTCAGAAGAACCTCCCTGTCAGCCTCCGTCAGCTGCTGTGGACTCGTCTCATGTCCCTCTTCATACTTCTGCTTCTTCCTCTTGGTCTGGACCAGCAGGAAGTGTGAGTACATGTCAGTGAGGGTCTGGGGCAGCTCTCCTCTCTGGTCTGTAGTGAACATGTGGTCCAGAACTGCAGCAGTGATCCAGCAGAAGACTGGGATCAGACACATGATGTGGAGGCTCCTGGAGCTCTTGATGTGAGAGATGATTCTGCTGGACAGGTCTTCATCACTCGATCTCCTCCTGAAGTACTCCTCCTTCTGGGCGTCAGTGAAGCCTCGTACTTCTGTTACCCTGTCCACACACTCAGGAGGGATTTGATTGGCCGCTGCAGGTCTGGAAGTTATCCAGACAAGAGCCGAGGGAAGCAACTCCCCCCTGATGAGGTTTGTCAGCAGCACGTTGACTGAGGACTTCTGTGAGACATCAGACACAACCTCATTGTTTCTGAAGTCCAGAGAAAGTCTGCTTTCATCCAGGCCGTCAAAGATGAGCAGCACTTTGCAGACAGCCAGCTGCTCTGCTGTGACCTTCTGTAAGGTTGGATGGAAAACATGGAGCAGCCTGAGAAGACTGTACTGCTCACCTTTGATCAGGTTCAGCTCCCTGAAGGAGAGCGGGATCACCACACTGACATCTTGGTTTTCCAAACCCTCGGCCCAGTCCAGAGTGAACTTCTGCACTGAGAAGGTTTTTCCAACTCCAGCGACTCCGTTGGTCAGGACCGCTCTGATGTGAGTCTGTTGGTCAGGTAAGGCTTTAAAGATGTCCTGGCACTTGATTGGAGTGTCATGGAGGGTCTCTTTCTTGGAAGCTGTCTCCAGCTGTCTCACCTCATGTTGGGTATTAACCTCTTCACTCTGTCCTTGTGTGATGTAGAGCTCAGTGAAGATGCTGTTGAGGAGGGTTTCACTTTGATCAGTTCCTTCAGTCACACGTTCACATCTCCTCCTCAGACTGAGCCTATGTTCATCTAAAACCTCCTGCAGACTCTCTGCTGAAAGAGAAGGAGATGAGAGAATAAAGAAAATTATTTTGAGAATTTAAAGATGAAAAACCAATTTAAAAATAGAGACAGGGTTTAAAATGGATGATTTTAATAAAACAACTTAATGTCTAGGTTTTCAACACGATACTTAACCCAAAACAGATGAACCAGGAAGAATCCTGGACATAAAGACATCAATCCTAGCCATCAGATATCTTCACTATCTTCTGTCAAATGTCTTTGCAGGGCTCACGTTCCCCTGAGCTAAAGATCTGTCCAGTATTTACTAAGTATTAATAAGTTAATGGTAAATATTTTTGCACACACTTAAAAAGCAATGCCTTAAAGAAGAGATCAGATGATAGTGTTTCTTTGGAAGAGTAGAGACCCAGCACTCAGAGGTTAAGACGCTGCATGTGTTCGGCTCTTACTTTGTACAATGTTCCATCTCTCTCCACACTGGGGACAGCAGGGGTCTCCTGATGGAGGGCGCTGCTCCCAGTATGAGGTGATGCACTGTCTGCAGAACCAGTGTCCACAGCTGGTAGAGACTGGATCCTTCAGGACGTCCTGACACAGAGCACAGCTGGACAGCTGCTCCTCCACAGGAACAGGACTCTTCCTCTTCCCTCTGTGGAGATGAACACATCCTTTACAGCACTTTACATTAGTGGAGCTGATTCTCACCAAAGGTACAACAAGGTGACAAATTCTAGTTTGATATTTAATATATCTTCCTGATCAGGTCGATAGTTTAAGCTTCACATTATTATAAAACCAAACAGTATCCCGTCTGGATTCATGACATCACCCAGAGGAGCACATGTTCCCTGTATCTATTAAAACACACATCAGCAGTATTCATCTGGTGCACTATAGCATTATAAACTTAAATTGACTTTGCTGTGAATTAATTACAATAAAAATATGGAAAGGATGCCATAATATTAACATAGTGATAGTGATTTGTAAAAAGCCTGAGTTAATGCTTTGTCAGGTCTGTCATCAAAACACTTTAAAATGTTTGTTTTCTGAATGAGATCAGTTTAATTAAAGCTAAGCTAACATTGTAGCTGCTCCATCAACACTCAGAATAACTTAATCTAGTCATAAGTACAGCAGTTATTATATTGTGAGTACCAGTCTCTGGATGATACACGTACATTAATAACCCTGATGTAATTTGAGCTACTGTAGAGCTCTGGGTGCTGATGTTTCCTTCTCTGATTCACGTCAGATCGTCAGTGACGTCAGGAGCAGAATCTCAGCACTGACACGTTTTTACAGAGCGTCACAAACTTTACACTGAAGTTGACATTTATCAAGTTGTGTGAATACACGGACGACATGAACTTCACATCTTTACTTCATTCATGTTGCCAGGTACAATGTTGTCTTTGAATTGACTCTATACTTAAATCGCACAGCACAAAAACATCTGTTATATCTGCTAATGCTAAACACAACCAGCTCACAGGTTATTACTATTATTAATAAACATCTTAAATATACATCTAAAAAGAGGCTTAGGTAGTCGACTCATTTTGAACGATGATATATATTGTTTTAAAATTAGTTCGTATTTATCAATATTATTGTTATTTTTAAATAATGTTATGCCACTGATACATTGATGATATAATAGCATATTGAAATATCCTTAAATAATGTTTACTGTCCTCTATTCTCCTCGTTTACTTTCCTCTACAGTGTTTCCATACTATCTCACTGTGGTTTCTGTACTATACTGCACACATTATTAAAGAACAGTTCAGATATCAGATTATATAAAAACTGAATCCTCTTCAGGTCAGATTACAGTAGAAACAGACTCTTACTTTGTGTCTGAGGGTCCAGGTTCATTACTGAAGTATGGAGGGTCCACTTTGGACCAGTCACTCTTCAGAGACACACAGCTGGGGACTGGAGACTCTGCTCTCCGTCTGTGGAAACAACAAATGTTTTACATATCATGGTTGAGAGCAGATTTTGACTTCTGTCTGTTTACCAGATTAAAGATTTGTGGACTTGTTCTGAACTTTCAGTCGTGCTTGAGGGTTTCTGCTTTTTCATTTGAGAGTGAAAGGTTTCACATGTTTGTATTTTATTAGCTTGATTTAACACAAAGTTCAACATGTCAAGTGTGAGGATGATTTCACTAGTAGATCATTTACTATCGCTGATGATGCCATGAGTTACATTAAACGTTGTTACTGTACTCTACTGAGTTTCTTTACTGCGATCATTAAAGAACAGTTCAGATTATCAGATTACATAAAAACTGAATCTTCTTCAGGTCAGTTTACAGCAGAAACTCTTACTTTGTGTCTGAGGGTCCAGGTTCATTACTGAAGTTCAGAGGTCTGTCTTTAGACCGGTCACTCTTCAGAGACAGACAGCTGGAGACTGAAGACGTGTCCTCTTCCTCACTCATCTTCTCCAGCCTGAGAGATAAACAAGCACACACACACACACACACACACACACACACACACACACACACACACACACACACACACACACACAACACACACACACACACACACACACACACACACACACACACACACACACACACACACACACACACCCACACACACACACACACACAATTTAAAAAATCTAAACTATCATTATGATAAACTTTGGTTTAAATACAACAAATCAGTCAGACTTCAGACAGGCCGCCCTCCATTTTGACCGCGCTGGGAGGACACGACCTTCTCATCTTTACTTCATTCATGTTGCCAGGTACAATGTTGTCTTTGTATTGACATTCTGTTTAAATCACACCGCACACAAAAATCTGTTATATCTGCTAATGCTAAACACAACCAGCTCACAGGTTATTACTATTATTAATAAACATCTTAAATATACATCTAAAAAGAGGCTTAGGTAGTCGACTCATTTTGAACGATGATATATATTGTTTTAAAATGTGTTCGTATTTATCAATATTATTGTCATTTTTAAATAATGTTATGCCACTGATACATTGATGATATAATAGCATGTTGAAATATCCTTAAATAATGTTTAATGTCCTCTATTCTCCTCGTTTACTTTCCTCTACAGTGTTTCCATACTATCTCACTGTGCTTTCTGTACTATACTGCACACATTATTAAAGAACAGTTCAGATATCAGATGATATAAAAACTGAATCTTCTTCAAGTCAGATTACAGTAGAGACTCTTACTTTGTGTCTGAGGGTCCAGGTTCATTACTGAAGTCTATAATAAAGCCTTTAGACCGGTCACTCTTCAGAGACACACAGCTGGGGACTGGAGACTCTGCTCTCCGTCTGTGGAAACAACAAATGTTTTAAATATCATCAGTTCTTGTTGAGAGCAGATTTTGACTTCAGTCTGTTTACCAGATTAAATATGTGTGGACTTGTTCTGAACTTTCAGTCGTGCTTGAGGGTTTCTGCTGTTTCAGTTCATTTGAGAGTGAAAGGTTTTACATGTTTGTATTTTATTAGCTTTCTTTAACCCAAAGTCCAACATGTCAAGTGTGAGGATGATTTCAATAATATATTTACTATCGCTGATGATGCCAAGGAGCAAGAGTTACATTCAACTTTGTTACTGTACTCTACTGAGTTTCTTTACTCCGATCAAGAACAGTTCAGATTATCAGATGATATAAAAACGGAATCTCCTTCAGGTCAGTCTACAGGAGAAACTCTTACTTTGTGTCTGAGGGTCCAGGTTCATTACCGAAGGTTATTGGTAAGTCTTTAGACCGGTCACTCTTCAGAGACACACAGCTGGAGACTGGAGACTTGTCCTCTTCCTCACTCATCTTCTCCAGTCTGAGAGATAAACAAGTAACACCACACACACACACACACACACACACACACACACACACACACACACACACACACACACACACACACACACACACACACACACACACACACACTATGAAACACCATTTAAAAAATCTAAACTATCATTATGATAAACTTTGGTTTCTGACAGGCCGCTCTCCATTTTGTCTGCGCTGGGCGGTTTCCTGTTATGTAACTCTGATGAATTAGAAGCCAGGAAATTAAAACGTTTACAACATTTGAAAATGTCACAGTGGATTCTAGAAAAAAAAGATTTTTTAGATGTGATATACATAAAGTTTCACAGAGTAAATCATGAATGTCTTGAAAACGCAGCAGAGCCTGGTGTTAACACTCACCCTGTTTTCTTCCTCCTGCTCTGTTGAAGTGTAAAATGGAGTCAGGCCGTCTGACTACATATTGTCACTTTTATGTCCTGACATGTCTGCAGCTCCTCCCTTTGTTTAATAACCTGCTGAACAGGAACACACAGGGATTATTTTCAGTAAGATACACATGCAGCTAAAAACAAGCAGAACAGAGTTATTAAATAAAAAATAAAAACCAAAGTGTGAAAATAACCCAGTAAAAGTCAACATCCAGTATTCAAAACCTCACTAGAGTTAAAGTGTGCAGGTGTACTGCTGCATTTATTGAGTATCACTGCTCTAGATGTTTTAACTCTTTGGTTAGTTTAATCTGCAGCAATGCATCGTATTCTGTAAGATCATGTGTTTTTAAACGTGTCCTGAGAAAACCACATATTGCTAAAGACTCAACTTTTTTTTCTCTGAGAAACAGCCCTTTTGTATCTCTGAGATGCTGCATTTCCCTAGTAGAGGTGTAAATGTAATGTACTTAAAGGGGACCTATCATGCAAAATGCACTTTTGTACGTCTTTTATACATGAATATGTGTCCCCGGTGTTCCAGGGAACTCACCAAGTGTCAGAAAACACAACCCTCTCTATTTTCCTCCATACCCAAATCTCTAAAAAAGGGGCTGCAACGGATCTGATAAAAACTGATCCAGATTTGAACACTGTCCTGACGTCAGGACGGTGGCGCTACGGCTATTGGGCCAACTCCACCAATCAGGAGGAGACAGCCACGGCCATTGCCGTTTGAAAGCGCTGGAGACGCTGTAGTACATATGCCAGGCCTGTAGATGGTGCTGTTCTCACAGAATCTGCCCTTGCAAAAACAGAGCTAAAAAATGTCAAATTGAGCGAAATGAGGCATGGCTAAAATGCATGATCTGTTTGGTATTTAAAAAAAAAAAAGTATAAATATGCCTTATATACTGTAGGTATGGTCCTACACTATATTATTCAAATATAGCATGATAGGTCCACTTACCTTACAGTACCTTACATGTGTCATCTTTTTAAAGCACTGGATCAGCAGACCCTCAGCTGAAGCACCTCATACTCTGTTGGTCATTTTGTTCATTGTGTTGATGCTGCGTCCACATCAGACTCAGGCGCCGTCCACACGGAGACGAAACGGGTTGTATCCGCTACAGTTCTCTATCGTATAGACGGTTCGTTCACACGAGGCCGAAACGGAAACACGGATTTGGAGCCCGGATCCGATACACTTTGAAACCGTCTCCCAAAGTGGGTAGATCTGTTGACGAAACGCTCTGGGGGGCCAAACGGCTCCGTGTGCCATAGCCCCGCCTCTCCCCACCTCTCCTGCTTTAATGAGAGTAAATAGTAGTCCAGAAACACATTCATTTCATTTAAAAACATTCTTTAATATACGTTTCATCAGGTTACATCATGTAAAATGTAGAATGCATAATCGTTTTGTAACACCCACCCTCCACCTATTAAGCTTCAGATAATTTAGATTTACATGATGTGAAAATGGCTATATATATATATATATATATATATATAGCCATTTTTTTTTTTGCTATAAAAGTGCTTTATATATATATATATATATATATATAAAGCACTTTTATAGCACTTTTTATATTTTATAAGGAACAACAATAATGGAACGTCGAGTGTTAGACATTTACATCATGTTTGTAATTATACACGCCTTATTTTAAAGGGTTACAAGCAGACAATATTTGGATCAAGTGATCAGTAGGTTGTTATTCTCTCAAGGTATTTGGTTTTATGGACAGAATCATTATATTCTGTATTCAGGATGCAAAAACAAAAAATAACTTGTATAATATTGCCAGAAAAAGTATATATATATTCTGAATGACATTGTTTCTCAGCTGCTCAAACTTAGGCGGTAAAATAGAGTTCTTTACATCACAAACACATCCTTTATGCTCACATTTTAAACTTCTTTTTCACAGGTACAGTTACAAGGGTTATCACTGTTTAGCTCTCTGTAATAATTCATCTTATGCATTTGCTGGTATCCTCCAAAGATGGCCGACATGCTGTTGATGCCGTCACATTCCCAATTGTTGTGAAACTAAGGCAGTAAAAATAGACTATCATTTTGGGGTTTTAATTGATGACACATCTCAATGATTGAAACGGACAGTGAGACAAAGCTCAGCTCCAGTCTCAAACTCTAAACACATGTTCTACTTTGCAAACAATTTACAATTCACCGTGTGTCTTTATCCCGAGCCAGTCTCAGCCTGGTTAACACCCCACTGCCTGGTCCTGAATCTGACACGTGTTTCAGTGTTAGTAAGTAATAAATTACATTATTATTATTATTATCATTCCCTATGCCATACATTTGCATGAATTAGATGTGCTATCAAGCTCCTAAATTCAACTCTTCCATACCGTACTTCCTGTTTTTGCTATTTTATAAGCTTATTTATTCACCGTTACTCAGGAACCCAACCGTATTCACCAACTTACATATTCAATGTAAATATTATTATTTTGTACTATATTAGATATGTTCTTGCCATTTTCCCTCCCTTTTTTTCATAGCAGTATAATCTAAAAATAGGATTACATTACATGTCACTTGTTAGACGCTTTTATCCAAAGCGACTTACATACTCAATACTGTGAGCAATCCCCACAGGAGCAATTTGGGGTGAAGTGTCTCAGGGACACAACGACATGCTGACTGCAGTGGGGTTTGAACACGAGCTCCCTTGATCCGAACAACAACGCTCTATCCACTGCGCCACACGATTATTTTCCTTGTATAACCTTATGCCAACAATACTGCAATAAACTGTACAGTGAAGACTGACAAATTATGTGATTTCTGCTTTCCAAGATGATTTGCAATCTTCAATTTTTCATAATCTGTCAAAATCTGTATGTTATCACACTTATTCCTTTAGGATGCTGTTTCCCACTCCCAAATGACAGAATAAGACACGTTCTTTCTACAATGGAGTAGTATATGTTGAACTGTTTCTGGTTTATAACAGTGTGTGCATTCACCAGTTGGGTTAGCAGATGGTCATCTTTGGTAGACACTCTCCTTTCTTATTAATCTGGGATTTTAACAGTAATTGGTAATAAATTCAGGTCCAATTGCCCCAATTTCTGTTTCAAAGTCATGTTTTTGAAAAAAAAAACGGTTGCAACAGATCACTGTATAGTATGCAAGGTGTTTGCAACATCTATTCAGTTGTACTATTTCCTTAACATGTGCATTTTCAATGAAACAATCCAAACTTGCTTAACACATAGTTTGCACATGCTAGTGTGTCTGTGAAATTGTGGAACTGTTGACAACCAGCAGATGGTCTAAAAGTCTCTGTGAGCAGTAATATTAGATGCAGTTCATATTGTGAACGCCAGGGGTCATTATCACTATGTGAGTGGATTCTTTTGATATGGAAGCAGCTTTACCAGTCAGAGCAGTTTCCTCTGAAAGAAGTTCAGTTTGGCAGACCTCAACTTTAAAGTTCAGTTTGCTGGCCTATAATTATATATAATTATATATAGTGATTTATTCCATTCATGGCAATGATTATAAAACTAAATATGTTCACTTTAGGAACTTTTCTCTTTTTGTGTAGCCGATGATGTAAGGAGCAGGGAGAAGCATGCATCAATGGTTGAGCTTCAACTCCCTGAAAGGAAACTAGTTTTCCCACCTGAGTAAGGAAGGAGAGAACATTTGGAAACATGTTGCGGTACTCTCGTCATGGTTCAAAGGTTAAGGACGTTTACCTCTCTAACCCCTTTTGTATTGATGGAATAACATGCAGTTGGACATGTTGAAATGTCATGGGTGGAAAGTTAAACTTTTCAAAGTCTCCCCCGCTGCTCCCGCTCAAAGAGTTCTAGGATGAATAAAGAGAACTGGATACAGAGTTGGAGGCAGGACCCACAAGGCCTGACTCTCTGAGCAGAGCTATCATTAAACAATTGTACGTGCGCACTTTAGTTTTCCCTTAAGCCCCGCCTTCGATCTCCCGCTCTCCGCTTAGCCAGATTTGTAGTTGGTTTTTTTCCACTCATGGCAATTATTTTAAGACCAAACATGAACAGATAAGCAGTTTTTTAGTCCATGATGGAAAGGAGCAGGGAGAAGAAATTCTTATTTTACCCCTTTCTCAAAAATCAATGGTCTGTCAATCACAGCTGCTTACAACCAATACTAACAGTAACATGAAACCTAAAACACAATCAATAGTCAACACAAGAATCTACCATCAGAGAAACAGGTTACCTGACAGCTTCATACTGATTAGTTATTCTTTCTATATACATTTTCTTAAACCCAAATATGTTCATACAGGCCTTTAAATATTTTGGTGAAGACGAATGGAGAGGGAGAATAACTCTGGATGCGGCTTTTAGGGCATTTAACATAATAAAATTCCTCATGATGCAAAAAAGGGCTATAAAAGTGTTATTACTGGATAGTGTATTTAGCTGGAACAAAAGTACACCCTGATTTACAGACTTTAAGTCGATGGGAACAAGTATTTTTGGGCCCAATGACGTCACAGACTGACACGGAAGTTGTAGTACCCACGTTTGGCTATACTACAAAACATGTGAAACAACTAGTAATATTTCAATTGACAGAAAATGTTTTGCCAAATAATAAGATTATCATTATTGTCTTGAAAATAAAAAAGTGTGCTTTTTCTGGCTCCTCTGATAAAGGCTTTATGTGAGGGGCTCATCTGACATGGAAGGAATGTGTCATTTAAAGTTCAACATTTCTAAATTATGACAAAAGGATGCCTATTTTAACTTCAACATGTAGATGACACAACTAAATTAAGTTATATTTCACATTGATATAAAATGCATTACCAATCATTTGTCTATTGATTCAATTTTTCTGAAAATATCCTAAATGTGCCTATTGTAGCTCCTCTAATGAGTTCAGATTCTCAGTTTGATGTCATTGTATTCTCTATATATATGTAGGTGTCAGACTGTTGACCAAACAGAACAGACAGTTGAAAACGTCCCCTAAGACTCCTCAAAAAATCATTAAAGATCAAGGATGTAGTACAATATTTCAGAAAATAATAGCAGTTTAATCAATAATAAAAAATGTTGCTGGTATCAGGCTGAATTGGAGGGTAATGGAAAGTTACTATCAGGCTGAATTGGAGGGTAATGGAAAGTTACTATCAGGCTGAATTGCAGGGTAATGGAAAGGTACTGCATTTATGAATCAGAGAAACACAGTTTGGTAATATTCTGAAGTGAAAATGACCATGACTCACTACTTTGGTTTTTTCCATGTGGACACTTGCTTGACAAGTATGGACTTGCTTGCCTAAGGTACAGAAAAAAAGATTGCAAACAATTGTTCTAAACCATGTTTGTCAAACATACGGCCCGGGGGCCAAAACCATCCTGCCAGAGGGTCCAATTCGGCCCGTGCGATGCCTTTGCAAAATAAAAAAAATGACAGAGAAGACATTAACTGCAATTTCCACAACTTTATGTTTGCTTTGTTATTTTGTATATGTATACATTATATACATTTAAAAGGCAGGGGGCTAACTCAACCTTCTTCCTAAATAGTTCCCTCTTTAGTTTGTATGATGGTGTGTCAGGATTACAGATGTGGAAATTCATGTAAAATATGTTTTGGATCATAAAGTGAAACTCTATATTATTCAGTTCCAAATACCGGGACTAAATGTTTTGTAGATACACTGTGGTCTGTGAGTTTAAGTGTAAGTTGTAATGCACAAGTGTAAATCAGTAATCAAACTCAGGCAATACATTGCTGACATTTTAATAAATGTCAGGTTGTTCATAATGTTTTGTAAAAAGATAGTTCATTAAATGGGAACATCTTCAGAATGTTTTTATAGGTTATTATGCTATGATTTTACTGGTCGGGCCCACTTGAGATCAGATTTGGGTGCATGTGGCCCCTGAACTAAAATCAGTTTGACCCCCCTGTTCTTAACACAAAATTGAACATTTTTGAATATGTTTAAAGATTGGCAATTTCAACAAAATGCTAAAAACTGAGAAACAGAAGTTTCAAACCCTCTTAAAATAAATCCAACACACTTTTTGTTTAGGTTTACCTTGCCTTACTCAAACACTGTGATCAAACTAGTTACGCAACTAAAGCGTCATCCTTTCAGTGGAAGCCAAACAGCAGCTGGCTGCCGACCACACCTCCTCCACCTGCTGCTCAATAAAAGAAGCAGGCTTCCCCTCACTCTCTGTGTTTCAGAGTATTTATAGAAAAACTGAAAAAAAATTACAACTGTTTTTTCTTTCTATCATCAGAGTGCTATAAAAGGAGTTAACATAGGTCTGAACTAAATAGCTCTTTGAGGAACTGACATTCATTTGTACTGACATGGATTTCCTACAGCAAGGTAGGACTCATTTGAATGCCACTCTATTTGATACACATTAAGTGAAGATGTGAACTAGACGTGATATGTATACTGTAAAGTGTATTGTTTCAGCCTTTTTCAGTGCACTGCAGCTCTTCTGTTTGAAGGTTTTCATCAGCAAACAGACCAGAATATGATAAGGCATTCATGTAAAGTGTATCATATGTTAATTCAAATTAAGCGTGAGAGTTGAAGCTACATTTTAATTAGAGAAACAAAACATAGGGGGCAATAAGGCAATGTAATCAATCATAAAAAACGTATCGTGGCATCCTTAATTACAGGAAAGAGCTGCAGCATTTAGTGTAAAACTGTGTGCTGATCTGCAAATAAGGCAACAGCTATACTGTATCTGAGATGTGCTGGTAAAATTCCACTTGTTTTCATGCCATTCCTTGAATGATATAACAGAGAGAAATAACGAACCATCTTCTAAACAGCAACAATACTGGACATTAGATTATGATTACAATTACAATCTCTCATATCTAAGTATATGAGGTTTAATTCCAACTACCTGTAATTTAACCAATTTGGTCCTAAGGACGCATTTCACTAACCAAAAAGCATTAAAGCAAACATACCCTTACATTGTGGGTTAGCAGGCAAGCTGTCAGGCAATTTGAATAGAAAATGTAGGTGATTTGATATGACACAAAGACGCTTATATTCTGCCTGCTTGTGATAGACGGTAGTGAGTATATTGCAAGGTATGCAATACTAAAAGCGCAAGATATGAAAATCACTTAATCTCAGAACAACTCTTTAAATGAAGGAGAAGTCGGTCCTTTACTTGCTACTAGTTCCTCAACGTGTACGTTTATTTCAACTGTGATGAAACGTTGCATGTTTTGTACTTTCAGACATAATAATTTCTACATCAGCTGGCAAGGAGAAGCAGCAGGTCTCAGCAGCAGTGAGAGACAATGGACAGACACCTGCTGACTTCAGCAGTATCTACAGCAAAGGTGAGAGAAAAAGCAGTTTTTGGACCGCCTGATAGTCAAGACCAGCATGTCCAGGGCTCTGTGAGGGGTATACAAATTCATCTTTACAAACCCCAATCAATCAATCCATCAATCCATCAATCAATCTATCAATCAGTGTGTTTTCCATAGAGTGAACTACACTTTCGCCACTTTCAGAAAAGTAGAGACTGGCACTGGGTTGGGCACTGAATAAATTATTAACGATAAGTAGGCATGCCAAAAAATATAACCGATTTTAACTGACAGCTTTTTATGACTTCTGATAGCTAAATGCGTATGCAAACATGTGCCATTTCTCCAGGTGAGGCAACTGTCATTTGAAAGAGAAATACTGTGTATGTATATGTGTGTGTGTGTGTGTGTGTGTGTGTGTGTGTGTGTGTGTGTGTGTGTGTGTGTGTGTGTGTGTGTGTGTGTGTGTGTGGGGGGGGGGGGGGGGGGGGTGGGGTGTGGGTGTGTGTGTGTGTGTGTGTGTCAGTGTGTTTGGTTAGTCCTTGAACTAGATTATCAGATTGTTGGTCCCCATCGAGAATAAAAACAAGTCTGTCTGTGTGCATTTGTTTTTTTGTTTGTGATTGTGTGCATGTGAAAGGTTGGTCCCTGCAAGTGATGATCAGAGTTGTGTCTCCAGTGAGATTAAAAACCAGTATGTGTGTGTGTGTGTGTTTGGTGCACAGATCTGCTCCCAGCTGCAGGAGGCGAGGAGATGACCAGAGGGTTCCTGCAGGAGCTGGTTCACATCCTGTTGACCTACATCAGCAAGTCCAGTCAGAGGAGCTCCAAGGTGCTCACCGGCTTCAAACAGCAATATGTTGTTCAGCGGGGTTACTGTAGAATCCTGAACCCTTTGTACTATGGCGTTCAAACAGAAACATTCTATTGGCTGGAAAGGGGAAATAAACAAATGGGTGCAGATATGTAGTAATGGTGTTAACGGAATTTAATGATTAGAAAACACTTTCCTATGGTTTCAGTAAACACTGCTGATACACATGGAAATTAAATAAAGACTAAAGAGGGAAAAATGAATGGAAAAAGCTCAAGATGCATTCCATGTTGTCCCAAAAGTGTATTTTCTTTAACGGAGTTGGATATGAAAATCCAAAGCATAATAGTGACAGATTTTGGATATGGGCCTGAATAGTCACGGAAATGTGGGTTCAATGTTAAAAAAAAAAGGTTTGTTAAATGTTTATTCAAATGAATAAGCATGAGACACAGGAAATTAAACAAATATTGCTCTTTGTGTTTTAGGTCCTTGACTTCCACCACCCTCACCAGCTGAGGGAGGGGCTGGACGGCTTCAGCCTGGAGCTGCCCGACCAACCAGAGAATCTGGAGCAGATCCTGGTGGACTGTAGAGACACTCTCAAGTATGGTGTCCGTACAGGTGTGTGTGTGTGTGTGTGTGTGTGTGTGTGTGTGTGTGTGTGTGTGTGTGTGTGTGTGTGTGTGTGTGTGTGTGTGTGTGTGTGTGTGTGTGTGTGTGTGTGTGTAAGGTTGGTTCCTCACAAGTATTGATCAGCTCTTGGTCCACAATGCAAATAGAAGCGAGTATGTGTGTGCGCACATCGTAACATCATAAACATGAATATCGTACAGTCAGATGTGGAAAAAATGTAATGTTTTCTTAACCTTGTTATAGTTTCATTCATGACTAATAACAGTATATATTTTTTAAGAAAGTATAACAATAATGTCTTTAGTGTTTACCCACTACTACTACATTTCCCCTGTAAACAAGCATTATTATTATTCACAGTTATATGTATTGCTCCAGTCATCAAGGTAGTGGTACAAGGAAGTGAAAGGTTTTCAATTTGTTTCATTTAAGTGCGTTACATGTACATTAGACATGATCACTACAAATATTGTGTTTTTATATGTTTTTAAAACAGCACACAAACTCGAACTAGACAATTAAACTCATTTCACAACACTTTTAAACAGCAACGCGTACTGGAAATAAGACTTTCATTGTGTGTCATTTCATCACTTCATGGAAAAATACAACTCTAAGAGAGACTTGTATACACAAGTATACGCATACGCGTGTGAACACATTTAAATTTGGCAGCACTACAAGAGAATATATATGATATGTGGGAATCAGCTTGTGCTTTCATGGCATCAAACTGAGAAATAAATTATGGGTTATTCATCTTGTACAAACATGACTTATTCAGGTCACCTGAGGCACTGCCGTACACAAGTGGCTCTTTGTTTCTTCATATATATATTTACTCATATAACTTTGCTCTAACAAACTCTCTTGTGCAATGCAGTTGCAGGGTAGCTTGTGAATTTACTCCAAATGTCAATTAAGTCTTATTTAAGTGTTGAATATAATTCTAATTGTTAATAAAAATGTGCAAATTAACTACATTTATAAAATGCAATGTAGTGGTAGAAGTACACGATGTATCTCAAAATTGTTCTAAGGACAGTACTTGAGTAAATGTACTTAGTTAGTTTACATCATTGCTTAAACTTCAAATCTCTGTGAAATGACTGTGCGAGCAGTAAGGGCCTGATTGGTCACATTTGACTTTTTGTTTTATCTTTATTGCTATACTTTAAAGGTGGTAGGTAAGTTTGAGAAACCGGCTCGAGATACACTTTTTGTTATATTCCATGGAATGCTCTTAACATCCCGATAGCAATGAATATCTGAAGTGCTTTGACAAAAAATCCATAACAAAATGTCATCTGTGGAAGCCGTAGTACTGTAAAAAGCACGACCAATCATCTGAGCCGGCCTGGCTAAAATAACTGGATGGCCTACCTGCCTGTCAGCCTTCCATCTGTGCACAAACTTATCTCGTGCCCTCATTGGTCATGTGCGCGTTCGTGTGTGTTGGAGGAGGGGCTCTGTAAGGAAGTGGCAGATTTTCTCCGGTTGTGTATTTTCAAATTCTAGCGATCTCGATTTCTCAAACTTACCTACCCTACCTTTAAAGTGGACCTATTATACTATATTGGAAAACATACTGCTCAAACCCCTCTTTTGCAGCCCTGTTAGAGAAATGCAGATTTTGGGTCCTTAGCTTGAAAACAAAAAAAGAGGAGGCGGAGCTAATGCCTGATCAGAATTCTCCCGGAGATAAAGTTAAATTCTTCTGTGATAAAACGCCCTCCTGTTCTAAACCACATCAAGGATTATTTCTGAAACAGTATGGAGCTCAAATGCTTTTTCTCTTGCGGGTTTATCACAAGGTGAGTTCCTTTTTTTATTTCTTGCTTTTTAAACACAAGTGCTCTCCAGTACAGGTTAGCTCTGAGTGTTAGCGAGGCTTGCTAATGTAAACAAAGACGAGATTACGTCCAAAACACGTCAGGCATTGTTTCTGATAGCAACTCTCTGTGGGTCCGCCGCCGATTTGATGTCATATCGGCAGCAAATCTGTATCCGCTCGTTGTACCCCCATTTTACGAGATTTGGGTACGGAGGAAAAGAGAAAGGGTTTTATTTTCTGACGCTGCGTGAGTTCCCCGACACACCAGGGACACATATTTATGTATAAAAGACATCAAAAAGTGCATTTTGCATGATAGGTCCCCTTTAAAGTATGCAGAGTTAAAAAAATCGAACAAAGCATCAGTGCAGTTGCACCACTCTTAATCATACTCGTATTACTTTTTTTTCAGGTCATCCCCGTTTCTTGAACCAGCTGTCTTCAGGTCTGGATGTGATTGGTGTAGCAGGAGAGTGGTTAACCTCGGCAGCCAACACCAACATGTAAGATCTCAACAATAAAAGTTTACTCAAGGACTCTACCTTACGCACTTGTTTTTTACTTGAGAATTGTATGTTTACTTCTTCTTCTCTAATTCAAGTATTTATACTTATTAGATGTATTATGTCAACAGATTAGGTTAGTTGAAAGCAATAATATTAAGTTCAAACTCAAATATTAGGTTCAACTTAATATTATTGTTTTCGACTAACCTAATACAGTTATGTGAAATCTGTTGACATACAGTAATACACTTAATTAAAGTCAATGGTTCCGTTTTTTCAGTGTACAGCTTATGAAATAAAATCCATATTCTTAGAGTCTAGTTGGGTCATCATAGCATGGTGCAGGATTTGTAAAACCTAAAGAAAAACTTGAAACATTTCAAATCAAAATGTTGGATTTCTTTTTGATATTCGCTCAAAAGCATTGCACAAATATTTCTCAAATGTGATAGTGGAGTTAGATTTCATCCAGACTGTCATTGTTAAAGGGAAAGCTTTTCATGAAAAAAATAAAGAGCCACGCGTAAGTCAGTGTCTCGTGTGACTGCTGGTCATTACAAAGGAGGCATGAGTCCTGAAACCCGGAAATTAGTTAGCATTTTGATATTTTGAGGTAAACATTATTGTGGTTAACAACCGCTGAAAAGATGTTCACGTTTATTTCTACAACCTAAAATATGTCAGTAAATACCCCACTGGCTAATGTCTGAAGCTTGAATTTGTGACTCAATGAACTAAACGCCATTACGCCGAACGTTAGCCACCTTTAGCTTAGCGGTGGTGATGTACAGACATGTGACCGTGATGAGGCTCCTTTATAGAAACAAATGTTTCAGTTATAAAACAAGTCTTTTGCCTTTACAGTATAATACAACTCAATGTTTTTCTTTTCCAGGTTCACATATGAGGTGTCTCCTGTTTTCATTCTCATGGAGGAGTTTCTGCTGAAGAAGATGCAAAGCATTGTGGGATGGTCTGCGGATGTGGGAGATGGAATATTCTGTCCAGGTAATGGATGCAGGAATGAATGGATGGATTGGAACTTATTTTGAGAAACATTTGAAAGATTTAGGTGTGATGCTGAACATATCAAGAAACAAAAAGTTTAAGGTATTATGTCACATTTATTTTGCTTCAGAAGTCAGGAGCAAAGGGTAGTCAGTATGTCACCCGTAAAGCAGGTTATAGAAAGTTACTTTTTAGATGAAATTATGATTTATTTACTTTTACAAACAGTTAAGCAATCGGGCAGATGTCAGATATTTACTGCAGGACATATGTTGGACACATAAGGCGAGTACTTTTCCCAGGAATAGTTCCGATAGTTCTTGGGATTTTGGTTTCACACCAAAAAGATCTGGAACTAGAACCTAGTTCGCGCAAACCTTTTCCCTCCTTTTCAGTCCCTGCTAGAGAGCATTGGCTTTCCTGGGGAGAAAAAGGTTCCAATTTCTGATTGGCTGGGCGAATTGCAAACCACGCCCCGTAAAACTCAGAAAAGTTTTGTGAAGCCGCCATTTTATTTGCTCGCATTAGCATTATTAGCATTAGCCCAGCGCACCAACGGAGAGAGACTAACTTATGGCAACACAAAAAAACATGGGAGCGGTGGAGTGATGAGGAGGTGTCGGCGCTTCTGGCAATTTACTCGGAAGACGCTAACCAGCAGCTTCTACTGAAGCCAGTCCCCAACTCCGGGGACTTCTGGCCGGGGACTTCGGGTGGCAGTATACGCCGTGAAGTTGTTTGCGGCCTGCCAGTAAACCCAAAGCAGAAGAACAACAAGTGACCTCAGCGGCTTCATTTGCGTAATCCTCCCTCAGGGACTTATTCCGGTGTGAACGCAATTTACTAGGACAGTTCCAGGGACTAAAGAGTTCGGCGGGACTAAGTACTGGGAACTAAGTACGGAAAAGTACTTGGTGTGAAAGCGGCTATAGACTGTATATGGTTGGACACTGTAACAGTAGAGGAGCCCGGGGGAATTGCACCACCTAACTAACTTTTGAATAACTTTGTTTAATAACAGCAACAAAATTAAACAGTATGAAGTGATTTGTAAATATAAATACAAGTGTGGTTGCTTTTTAAACTGTGCATTGTGTTTCCTGAAGGAGGAACAATATCCAACCTGTACAGCATCCTGGTGGCCAGATACCACTTCTACCCCGAGGTGAAGACCAGAGGCATGGGAGCCCTGCCCCGGCTGGCCCTCTTCACCTCAGAACATGTAAACACACCACACACACTCACTGTCACACTCTGTAGGACAGGGTTGTTTGAGTTCAGAAGTTATTGTCTGAGCCAAATTACAAGTCAGTTTGAGTTTTCACAGGGTCACACAGAAAATAACTTGATCAAAGTTCAAATGAAAACAGTTTTCTTTTAAACAACGAGATAACACAAGCCTATGTTTATCTCCGGAGTGTCAGTCTCCAACTTCACTCGTGCCTTCCCTTTGTCGATGTTATATACTTTATCATCTTGAAATGTAACCAGAGGGGGTACTCTTACTTCAGTAAAAGTAGCAATACTACAGTGTAAAAGTCTACTACCAAAAGTCAAATACATATATTTTAAATATTTCATTATAATTATTAATGTGTTCATCATTTCAATGTTTCACTTTGTAAAAGAGGGGATTATTTGAATAACTTTATATACAATACTAACCTATAATAATAAATGACAATGAATTATCTGATTTATATTTTTTATAAAAAATCGGATTCTGCAGCAAGTAACCAGTAACTAAATATTTGCATACAAAATGTAGTGGAGTAAGAGTATGAAGTAGCCCAATGTGAAAATACTCAAGTAAAGTACCTCCACTTTTGACTTAAGTACTGTACTTGAGTAAATGTATTTAGTTACATTACACCACTGGATTTAACTAAATATGGTCGATAGATACCTCTGTCTGAGCATGTCTGCACGAGCCGACAAGGTGGATGCATGTGATGCGTTCAGGTCCTCAGGGTTTCTCACTCTTCAGCCTCAGATAGCCCCTACACTGTATACAGCATCTCTACAGTGTCCTGAATCTGACTCTACATACACATCATAGCTTTAGCCAGGGCAGGAACAACTATACATCTTAAAATGACACTTAGTTTTTTACTGAATACATTTGATAATACACCATTATTTTATAAAACAGAGAACTTCTTCCATAGTGGATTGTAAAGCTGTGTACAAATGCAACGTCCCTCGGATCCACCGTGGAGCGATGAGATACTAAGGTTTATTTTATGTTTGAGAATGTTGGCGATGGCATAGGTAGACATTTTACGACCAAGGTACGTTTTAACCGTTTGTTTTTTAGTTCTAATTGAAACTAAAAAACAAACGGTTAAAACGTACCTTGGTCTTTTACATGCCGCCATCAAAATAAAATCTATTTGTGGACAACAATGACCATTAACAATGAATTAAATCACATTTTCAATTAATCTGTGCTGTCTTTTCCGCATGTCTAAAAACGACTGTTTTGTTGAGTTGTGCACAAAAGTTGAGATATTCTTAATCGAGGTAAAGGTCCTTTCCATTTGGTCTTTTGTAATGTTTTTTTTTGTCTTTGAGCGTGGTCAAAGAGATCTCAAGTTATCAGTGACATGAGCTCAGCAAACTCGTGTGGTGGAAATATCTCATCGAATTGAGACAGATTGTCTTTGAAAATGTAATAGGCTTTTCTGCGTAGGAAAGGATCCGAACATTACAGAGTCACGGGTCTGAAAGTCTGAATGAAGAGTGTGTGTGTTGAAACACCTGCGTCCTTGAGACGGCCAACAGGGTGCAAAAACAACTCCCTATCTGGTAATACTGAGCTACACAGTTAATCGTAAATTAAACATAGCGTTGTATTATGTGGGAAAGGGGGACTCAGTACTTTCCCACTCTCATGTGATAAACTTGAATACGCCAAACACATCGAATGGACATTTCTATTACAGTTACATCTAATATTAAAATGTCCATCACACTCGCAGACCCAGATTCCATCAATATATGAATTATTGTAGGGAATTCCCCAGCCAGTCTATTTAGCAGTGAGCATGCCACTTCCTAATAGTCAGTTTCTCACACAAAGACACATTTTTTTGTTCTTTAATGCTGATGAAAAGCATTATAAAAAAATTAATAAAACGTAATTGTACCTTTACCTACTACGTCATTGTATCCACATTTTTAGAATAAAAAAAGCACCTACAGTGCACTGTATAGCCAACCCTACAATACAGTGGTGGAAAATAACTAAGTACATTTACTCAAGTACTTGCTTGTGTACACATTTTGAGGTACTTGGACTTTTCGTTTTATACTACTTTATACTTCTACTCTATTACATTTTGGAACTAAATATTGTACTTTTTACTCCACTTTATTTATTTGTATTTACCGGTTACTTTATAAATTCAGATTTTGACACATAATTCTCAGGAAAAACTTTTAGAATGTGATTATTTGATATAGATTAAACCATCCAACATTATATCTAAACCATGAGTGAGGTTTTTTGTTCAAAAATATTTCACATTTCCAGCTTCTTAAATGTGGAGATTTGCTGCTTTAAAATATAAAAAAATATTTTTGGAGTTTTTTCTACAATGAGTACTTTTACTTTTACTCTTTCAGTACATTTTCCTAATCGTACTTACTTACTTTTACTCACTTTCCATTCTTGATGCAGTACTTTAACTTGAACTTGAGCATTTTTAAAGTGTGGTATTAGTACTTATAGTAAAGAATCAAATTATTCTACAATATCATCACAATGTCGATATTGAGACATTCTGTCAAACATTTTGTGATATTTGATATACTTCATATTGCTTGGTCCTACCTGGTCTTCTTCTTAGTACCCAACAATACTCTGTGCTTTCAGCTGCACCATAGGCGTTGTCTTTGAAATGGGACAAATTAAGATGAATGGATGTTTTTTCTCCCATTCAGAGTCACTATTCAGTGAAGAAATCTGCCTCCGTGCTGGGGATGGGCAGCGAGAATGTGTTCGTGGTGAAATGTGATGAAAGGTGGGTCACATAGGCTGTTAAAAGTTCATGCTCAACAAAAGACTGTTAAATGTTTGCTCACCTGTTGCAGCTTTCAGTGTGTGTGTGGGTGTGTTTGTGTATGTATGTGTGTGTGTGTAATATTATTGCTTTCAATTAACCTAATACAGTTATGTGTAATTTGTTCACATAACACATTTTATTAAATTCAACATTTCAAATGTTTCAGTTGTTCTTTTAGTGTACCAAATACAACATGATTTTTATTCCTGTTTTAACTTGTAATAACTTAAAGGTCCCATGTCATGCTTTTCTGGTTATTACCCCTTGTGTGTTATGTAGGTTTTTCTGCATGTAAACGGTCTGCAAAGTCACAAACCCTCAAAGTACACCCTGTAGCGAGTAAAACTCTAACACAGAAAAGACCTGTCTATGCTGCCCCAGAACGCCTCGTTGGAGATTTCTCTTTTTCAGAGTGTGCGAGCTGACCAATCAGAGCACACTGGGCTCATAGGGAGGGGGGGGCAGGAGCTCCAACAAGGCGTGTATGACAGAGAGTGAATACACATACTATACAGAGATGCTGTATGAGAAACCAATGTGATTTTGGAACATTGAACAATGTAAATCAATTCTAGTAGACCTCAACAATGGAATTATGATCAGTAGAAATGGCCATGACATGGGACCTTTAAAATGACTGTATTCCACAGTACATTTATTAAAGTATTTTAGAAGTTATATAGTCACACAGCCCTATGCTGTTTACTGAACCCTTGTCTGCTCTGGCTCTTTTCAGAGGGAAAATGATTCCTGCTGACCTCGAGTCTTCCATTGTTGCAGCTAAAGAAAAGGTAGTATGAATGGAGAAAGATTGAAAAAATAACGAAAGAATGTCCTGTGTCCACATTTTCTGTTATCCCACAGTATCATGGCATACTTTAATTGACTTTGGATCAGTGCATCCACATGAAGAGACTGACTTGAGTTCTCTCTCCTCAGGGTTTGGTTCCATTCTATGTGAATGCGACAGCAGGAACCACGGTGTACGGAGCCTTCGATCCTCTCAACGCCATTGCTGACATCTGCCACAGACACACACTGTGGATGCATGTTGATGTAAGGCAGTGGTGGAGGAAGTAGGCTACTCAGATCTTTAGCTCAAATACAAGTAGTGATACCACAGTGCATACATTATTTGTTAGAAGTTAAACCACTTCATTGTTTTGTATACCAAAACTAATGTAATCATCCTGCAGAAGGATATATATAATATATATACCGTCTCAGACTGTATGCTACTAGAACACTTAATAATAACAGTATAATACCCGTAACACAGATTAAAGCATGATTTTTAAAGGTTTTTTGTATTGGTTTATAAGTCAGTTACTAGGTCAGTTAAAGGGGACCTATTATGCTATATTTGAAAAATATATTGTAGGGCCATACCAATACAAAACATGTCTGTGAAGTTTTTTGCTCAAATACCAAACAGATCACCCATTGTAGCCATGCCTCATTCTGCTCATACCCCTCTTTTGCAGCCCTGTTACAAAAAGGCTGATTCTGTGACCGTAGATTTAAATGGAACGGCTGCTGCAAGCCACGCCCCTTTGTAGCGTCACGCAGCTTTCCCCTGCTAAGAGAGTTTTCTACCGGGAGAAACTCAGCTAAACGCTGCCGTGATTACAGTAAATGCCATATTATGTTCCCAACCACGTCAAGCATTATTTCTGTAACAGTATGGAGCTCAAACATTTCTCTCTCGCAGGGTTTACCACAAGGACATTACGTTACACATATTCTCTCCAGTACAGCGTTAGCTCTGAGTGTTAGCATGCTTGCTAATGTAAACACATAGCCAGGGGTGCACATAACTGGTACGCAGGTACGCATGCGCGGCAACAAGCTAGAGGACTGTAGACAGAGATGATAGGTTGGGACTTGTCACGTGTGCCACATGTCGCCAATGACGTCATAGGAAGCCAAAATCCTGGATCTGCTCGTTTTTACCCACGTTTTTTTATTTTTTTTAGAGATGTGGGTTAGGAGGAGTAGAGATAGGGTTGTATTTTCTGAAACATTGTGAGTCTCCTGACACACCGGTGAAACATATTTATGTATAAAAGACATCAAAAAGTGCATTTAGCATAATAGGTCCCCTTTAAGGTAGTGCACTGACTGACCCGTGTTTAGTCATGGCTGCTCTGCTTTTATGTTTTACTAAATAAAGCTTTCTCATTGGGTGGAGGGTGGGAACGCAGTGTTGGATCATGTTTTTGAGGAATCTCTTTGATTTTTGCCTGCAGGCGGCGTGGGGTGGAGGCCTGCTGATGTCAGACAGACACAGGATGAAACTACAGGGCATTGAACGGTAAAACCACACAACCTATCCACTTCACTCAGCATGTCTTTGTTTCCTCCAGGAGTTGTGGAGCACCACTACAAAGAATATGTGTAGCTCATTGTGAATCCCAGCCTCATCACCTGATTTCCTTTTTATAAATCCTTGCCTAGTTATCTACTTGTTGATGGATGTTGTATGTCATCTTTATAAAATCAGAGAGAAACAAGGCCCGGGCCAGATACTGTGTGTGCATGATAAGCATAGCTAAGGTTAGCATCAAATGGTGCAGTGATGATTTATTTTTGTGGGCCAACCATGAAGTTAGCTTGGCCAGGTCTCCCTCGACAAAAAGCAATGTTTTTTTTTCCATTGGATTTGAGAATATTGCAGAAAACAAGCTCTGTGGCAAATTACCATAACCACTGCTAAGCTAAATGTGGCTAATACTAGACACATGTTAGCAACCGCTGTTCCACATATAAGCTCTGTACTTTTAGCAGTGGGGTATTTACTGACGTATTTTATGTCGTAGAACAACACTTAAAAATCTATTTCACTTTATGCAGGCATCTAACCAAAAACACATTTAAAAAACGTTGCCTTCAAGACGTTGGAACTGGTAGTAGTCAAATTCTAACCTTTCCCCCGGTTTTACACAAATAGACTGTATGGTGAGCTTTCTGGAGAGGTGGTTGTTTGTCCCCTCTTGTTGTAATACACTTTGTGTATGCTTTTCATTTGTGAAAATGATCATCATTTGTTGTGTTTTCATTGTTTTACAACCTGCATTTCAATAATGTAACTGTAGCACATTAGCATCACATTGTTGAATCTTGGTTTTCTGTAGCCTACTACTACAGTCAAGTGACAATCTTTTAGTTTTAATGTGCTATACATTCTAAACAAACATATCTAAAATGTTAACAAACTTTATAAACAAATATGTGGCCTTTATAGAATAGGTTATCTTACTCTAATCATATTTTCAAACATATTCAACGATATCGAGTGCACTGTGCAAACCCACCTTTCCTTCTGTAGAGTTCGCCGTCGACTGATGAAAAGCCTGGCGTTAAGACGGATCTGCGCATGCGCAATACGGGTCGGGGATTGACCAACCGGCTTCCACTGCTCTGCTGTCTGTTAACGTTGTTAAGAGTGGTGGGGGCGGGGAGGGAGCAGATCTACAGCTTGAGCAGCTGTCAACTCAACATTGTAAATAAACAACCAAAAACGATCGCCGGTTCATCTTGTTTTGGCGTGAGAATAGTTTGGGCAGCGTGAGACCGTGAGATTGAGAGTGAAAGCGGGTGTCACACGCCAGATGCGTGAGAGTTGGCAACCCTGCTACATGTTGTTGTTGTTGTTGGGTCAACATTCATTAGCCCCTCCTATAAACATGTATCCCCCTGAGGCTCCTAGGCTGAGCATTATTGTTGGTGCCCTTACACAGTGAATTGCTTTTATAAACATAATAACTTGTGTGTGCTGTGGTTGCTAAAACAAGTCTGATAGTTGGTCCAATTTACATTTGAAGTGATTGTTTTCCAGAGCCTGGTCCGTCACCTGGAATCCTCACAAGATGATGGGCGTCCCTCTGCAGTGCTCTGCCATACTGATCAAGAAGAGGGTAAGACATAATGCTGTACCCTTTAATTGAAGTGTACATACAAATAAAACATCACTATCTTTGGAGGCTATCAACTGAATGTTTTTAGCCATGCTAGTTGGTGTGTGTATCTGTCCAAAACTCTCTTCTTCACAACTATTAGATGCAATGGACATTTGTACAGATATTTAGGATGCCTTCAGAATGAATACTAAGGACCATGGCGCCACTATGAGAGTGAAATTGGTGGTCCAGGGTAAACAATTGGGTTCATTCATCGTCTTTGTCAACTTTGGTGAAATGTTTCATGTTAAATGTCTTCAAAATATATCCTAAACAGCTGGTGTGGCTGTTGACTGTTAATCTTGTTCTGCAAACAGGGTTTTTTTTAATACTATTTTGTGGTCCTCCTCAGGGTCTCTTACAGGGGTGTAATGAGATTGGGGCCACTTACCTCTTCCAGACGGACAAACACTACGATGTGAACTACGACACCGGAGATAAGAGCATCCAGTGTGGCCGACATCAGGACGTCTTCAAGCTTTGGCTCATGTGGAAGGCAAAGGTATTCCTGTGCAATATGAGAGTGACTCATGTGAAGACTGCATCTGATTTTCTCTTGATGTTGGGGACTTCCTTTTCGATGGGAATCCTTTTCTTTTTGTCCTTATCTTTATTAGATAAAATATGCACGAATGTATTTTAACGATTAGTTGCGCAACCAGTGAAGCACTGATGACGTACTGTATTTTTCTAAGCTGCTTTACAAGTTAGCATCACAAGGGCTCAAACGACAAAAAGCAATGGGATTCTTTCAATGGGAAAGTTGAAGAAAAATAATTATGATTAGTTTTGTTCAGCAGGATAATCTCCACACAGTGGTAGAATAAGTACTTAGATCCTTTACTTAAGTAAAAGTAGGAATCCTTTGGTCTAAAAATACTCCATTACATACCCATTTTGCCCAGTGGCTGTTTTGAAAGTATTATATTATTATAGAATTTAAAATTATTCCTTCTTATTTTGATTTCTTACAATTACATGTAAGAACATTTAAATGTTGTAGTACGTTAATATTAACTTGTTAAGCCCCGAGCCTGTTTTTCAGGTTTCAGGCTCGAAAATGACATGCCCAAAACAAATGACTACAACTTCACTTGTAAAAGGGTTATATGAATAATTTCTTTTATCAAAGCAAGGTTACATCTGTGAGTTGGATGTACAAGTGTCAGAATCAATATAGATTTTTCTCAGTCAGAGTAAATTCAGATGGAACATAGTAAAAAAAGGTAAATTCTTACCTCCGCCTAAAGAAAAAACATTACTTATAGTGAAAACCACCCTTGAATGATGGGATGGTAGACTAAAAGCTATAACATATAATAAGTACCCTGTATCAATATTGAGGCAAAACAAGTTAAATTTGACCTTTTTAGAGAGGTTTAGCAAAAAAATGTTCCAGGCAGAATAAGCTTTCGGCACATTTGGGTACATCTGGTTCCATCAGTGCCATTTGACCTTTTTCAGGTACCAGACTATAAAAATGATGTATTACATTGAATTATCACCATAGGTATTCATTCCATCCAAAGAAAAAAAAAATTAAGAAAAAGAAATTATTAATTTTTTTAATTTTTAATTTAATTTGTGAAGAAAAAAAAAGACCCGCCGACGGGGGCTTTGGGGCTTAACAGGTTAAGACAATTTTAGATTTATTTTTAATATATTGATAGTAACGTACTGCATTATATCCCTATATGAACAGTAGCTGGTAACTATAAGTGTTAATTAAATGAAGTGGAGTCAAAAGTACAACAAATGTTCCAAAATGTAAGGGAGTAGAAGTATATAGTAGCATTAAATGGACAAGTAAAGTACAAGTATCACAAAAAAAGTACTTAAGTATAGTACTTGAGTAAATGTACTTAGTTTTTTATCCCACCACTGTTGCCCCATGTTAACACCACTTTGTGATGTTTGAAGCATAAATGCAATTGACAGAAGTAGGAATAGTTAAGTAAGGATATAAACAAACGTCACCAACGCTAAGCTAAAGGTGGCTAATATGTGGCGTGATGACTTTTACCAGTGTCTTTTAGTCACTTGTTAGCAAACACTGTTTATAGGACACCCACTGTAGAAGCTTCAGACATTCACCAGTGGGGATTCACTGACATATTTTATATCGTAAAATAAAACGAGAGACAACTCCATTCAGTACCAGAGAGACAACGAGCTATACATTTTCATTGGATGATTCTGTACTGTGAAGTTTTACTGTGAGCATTGACTGATATTGAGAAATGCAGTTTGGTGTGTCTGTGTCCCCTGGGTGACATAACACTTTCATTCATTATTGCGTGCTTCTTAATTTTAAATATTTTTAACTTTTTACTAATTAGACTGCATCTCACCCATATAAAACACTTTGATAAGATGACTACTGCTGTTTAACTTTCTGTGTCGCTGTCTGTGTCTCTCACTTGCTCAGGGCTCCCAGGGATTTGGATCTCAGGTCAACAAATGCTTAGAGAATGCAGAATATCTGTACGTTCAGCTGCAGAGGAGGACTGACTTTGAACTGGTCTTCAAACACAAAGTAAGGCTGTTTTTTACGTGGTAAAGAAATATATTCATCTAATGAATGACAATGTGTAACATGTTTAAATACGTTTTTGTACAGGAAACATTCGCAATTTCGGTTTCCAAATGTGTCAGTTTTAAAATACATCAAGACAACTGATTTTAAGCCAGGATACATTTCAATTCTAGGTTACATGTACTAATTGTTTTGCCAGGCTTTAGATTCAGACAACTGTATATATCGTAGACAGATACATTTTCAGTTGCATTTAAATCTCCTGCACTTACCATCCAAAGAATATTGCCAGGCATTATTGTGTTTTTGGTTTGTCCTTTGAAATAGGGAGTACCTTCAGTGCTAATACTAATATCCCCAAGATGCACCACTGACAGCACAAATAAGTTGTTGCTGCCTGTAGCCATCAAACTATTTAAAGAGGCCCTATTTTGCGGTTTCCCCTTTCCTGTAGTGTTCTGTAGGTTTCGGTGCATCTTGGTCTGCCAAGGCTAACAGGCAATATGAGAAGAGAGCTTTTTGAACCATAAAGCATTGAAACATGTCACAGTAGAGACACAAAATACACAGATGGACCTGAAAATGAGCATAAAATGGCCCTTTAACTCTGATTGCAAGATTTAGTTCACCATAAGTAGCAACCCTTTTAAACTCTTCACTTCAGCTTTAATTATCTAATTATGAATACTAATTCACCGCTTTATATATTGTTACATACATGTTATATACAGTATTGTATTAGAATGTGCACATTTGAACTTTGACTTCTTATGTTTTTAAAGGTATTTGTATTTGACATTTCACTTCAAATTTGTATGTGATATATTTTATTTTATTTCTTACTGTACATTTCAACACAAACTTATTTTTAAATACAATTTTTTTAATGTATCTTTCATGTATTGCATCCTAACAAAACCCCATTTCCCCTGAGACATTTAGAATATTCTAATTCAGATTTTGAAGAAGATTTATCCCTGTACTGTAAATCCCCTCTCAACTCTCACTGGATATCTGCTCTCCTCTCTGACAGCCGGAGCACAGTAACGTGTGTTTCTGGTACCTCCCCCCCAGCCTGAGGGGCCTGCAGCCTGGCCCTGACAGAGACATGAGGCTCCATCAGGTCAGTACAGGAGCCCAGCGGCCCCTCCCTCAGTAAGGATCAGGCCCCTCTGCTTCCTTTTATGATTTCAAAATGCTTCATACGTCTCTGCAGGTGGCTCCTCGGATCAAAGGCAGGATGATGGAGAAGGGCTCTCTTCTGATTGGCTATCAGCCGTTGGGTGACAAAGTCAACTTCTTCAGGTGTGTGTTCTCCAACCCGGCCACACAACAGGAGGACATCGACTTCCTGCTGGAGGAGATCGCCCAGTTGGGAGAGGACTTATGACCTGTGATGTGATTATTGGATCTGCACTTCTCTCCGGTTTTCATTTTGAAGGAAATTAGTGCACCATCGTTTTACTGTGCCATTCACATTGTATCCACACTTTCTATAAGCCTTTCCACTTTTGGTGTTCTTACAGCGTTAAAGTGAGGAGGTTTGAAACTGTACACTATTTATTCATGTTTCCCATGGTTCTACAGGGTTATCTGGTGTGAGGTTTTAGAGTCGTCTTAATCAAGTTAATGTACCTGAACATGTTTTTATCGTGATACCCCTTGAGATACTGCAGACCAGAGGAGAATGACACAGGCTTTGAAAAAGGTAATTCATATGCAAAAAAAATACAATCATATGATCTCACAGACGGGAAAACCAAAAGACAGAAAGTGAAACTAGACAAGACACAAAGAGAACATTATTTTCAAAAGGATCATGACACCTATTGATCATGGGCATTGGACAGTGAAATTGATAGGCTTAGCATAGAATACATCTCCATTCAGACATATTGTGATTATGGATAGTGTTTAATATATCTTTTGAATAAATTATAAGGCATATTAAGCACAAGCCTGTAAATGTTTGAATGGGAAATGTTTATTTGCTCATGTTATTTTTATCATGCTGTGATTTTAGTATTTTCTTATTAATCAGGGTAAAGGCTCACTTTCATTCATGTCATGTGATTGCTGGGCAGTCTTTGTAGGTAGCGGTGAGGTGGCCATGCACATTTATAAACCAGCACATATTAAACAGCCAGTTAATACAGTATATTTTTAGATCAGTTTAATCTCTGTGTTTTATCACAATGTAATCTCACAATATGTCTACTAATTGTCTTTTTCTCCTAGATTTAAGAAAAAAGGCAGAGGTGGAATAAGTACTGCATTCAAAGTTGAACTTAAGTAGAAGAACAAAAGTATTAACACCAACTTATACTTTAAGTACCAAAAGCAAAGTACTCGTCATGCAGTTTGGCACAAATAAGAACAATATAGTTTATTATTCATGTATTAATGTGTTCATAATTTAATGTTGCACTTAAACGGTAAAAGTGGGGTTAATGGTAATGATGTTATAGACACACTGGCTATCTTAAAGGTCCCATGTCATGCTTTTCTGGTTATTACCCGTCCCCTTGTGTGTTATGAAGGTTTTTCTGCATGTAAACGGTCTGCAGAGTCACAAACCCTCAAAGTACACCCTGTAGCGAGTAAAACTCTAACACAGAAAAGACCTGTCTATGCTGCCCCAGAACGCCTCGTTGGAGATTTTTCTTTTTCCATTTTTTTCTTCCTGGTCATAGTGACGTAACCATGCCCAGGTCCAAATGGACCAATCCGTGGAGCTCCTCACACACATACACTCACTCAGCCTTATCTTTTCTCAGCCGCGATACTCCGCGGATCTCCACTCACAGTTCGCCACACAGCGCTCAGGCTGAGTTTCGCGGTGTCTCGCTGTCTCGCAGACCCCAAGCAGCAACCAGGAAACGACACCAGTAATCCAGCTCACACTGTCCGCTCCTCGAGCCCCAAAGGGCGCAGCAGCGAGCCCCGCAACGTCCCGCCAACACGGCACCCAGACCCCACGCAGCATTCTCATCTGTTTGTCATTACTAGTGTCATTTTCTGGTTGCTAACAAACGCCATTGTAACACATAATCACTGATGTTCTGCTGTAACGGTGGTGGACTCATCAGAACAGAGTGGGCGAGCTGACCAATCAGAGCACAGTGGGCTCACAGGGAGGGGGGGGGCAGGAGCTCCAACAAGGCGTTTAGGACAGAGAGTGAATACACATACTATACAGAGATGCTGTATGAGAAACCAATGTGATTTTGGAACATTGAACAATGTACATCTATTCTAGTAGACCTCAACAATGGAATTATGATCAGTAGAAATGGCCATGACATGGGACCTTTAACTTATGATAATGTATAAGCTAATTTATATTTTGTATTATAATCTAACTCTGCAAAGTAAAAAGTTACACATGTGAAATAAATGTGAGTAAAACATTTGCCTCCAAAATGTAGTGGAGTAAAAGTATAAAGTAGTAGAAAACTCTAAACAGTACTCATTGTATATTTTTGTATAATGACAATAAAGGCTTTCTATTCTATTCTCTCGTTTTTTTCCAGTACAGTACTTGTGTAAATTGTGTTGGTGAGATTCCACCACTGGCAAAATGAAGGTCATAGCAGTGATCCCCACTACATCTGTATACATGTCACATTGAGATGTATATTCAAATAGGCCTACAATAAAGTGTAGGGAGGCCCATGTTAAAACAAACATTGATGTTGCAAACAATATCAAGCTACAGTTGCAAAGAGATCAAACACATGCTAGCTAGCTGTTGAGTTAGCATGAGGATTCATTGGGAACCGTCAGAATATATATATATTGTGTAAATGTAAGAAATAACGTACAAACAGACCGATTTATCTTTTGAAAGAGATGATTCAGTCACAAGTCAGACATTGGCAAACATTTCAATTTTGGATTAATTATTTCAGCAGAGCTATAGTTATGTAGTACCTATTAGGACTAGCGGTGGTAAGTCACTATAAGTACATTTACTCAGGCGCTGTACTTAAGTACACATGAGGTACTTGCACTTTACTTGAGTATTTTCATGATATGTACTTCTACATTTCGTACTTTTTATTCCACAGATTTACTTTATGAATTCAGATGTTGAAATAAGACACAGAATAAATGACCCATCATATTGTTTGTTATATTGTTTTTGAAAAGATATTTCACAGCTCCAGCTTCTTGAATGTGACGATATGCTCTTTTTGCTTTAAAATATTTGAATATTTTAGTTTTTCTGCAATGAGTACTTTTACACCTAAGATAAGTACATGTTCCTAATCATACTTGCAGTACCTTTACTCAAGTAAAGGATCTGAATACTTGTTTTACCTTTGATAGGACCCGGTTTATCTAATCAGACACTGTTAATCTGTATTCACCTCATCTCACTGCCGTAGGAGTACAAACACTGCAGGGGCCATTCACCTTCACACATAACCATTTTACATTCAACTTTAAATCCACTTCAAATGACACTGCTCGACTTTATCTGATACTTCAACACGGTGTTGACAGTGATACCTTAAACTTAGTTTTGAAAAAACAAATGGGAGAGACAGTGAACATTAAAATATACAAAACATTTATTGTAAAATATATTACATTTTTAATTATAAATACATTTTAATATTACATTTATTGTTTAAAAACAAGAGTTGTTAAAGAGGATGCAGTGCTCAGTACGGCAGATTACGTCCATGTCCATCTGGAAGAAGAAACACATTTTATTAGGCCAAAGGAAGTCTGATTTGTCAGCAACACATCATGCAAGTCACAGGTTGCATTCGAATAGTCCATTTAGCTTAGGAACCTTCCTAACGGAGTGAAATGACCCGGAAGTCCCTCAGTGGCAGCCATGATAAGTGCCGTTCGAATTCTCTAAATTAAAAGGAAAGGAGGTTTCAAACTTCCTTTATAACCTCCTTTAGCTTAGGAACCACTGGACCTCCCTAACCGAAAGGAGAGGAGAAAATGCTGCCCCACAATGCCTTGCGGCCGCAGCATTTGCCGTCACACAACAGTCGGCCGTTCACGGAAACAACCGATTATGACCGAGAAATGATATCATGAAAGTTACGGTGCTTATTAAGCATTTTAAAACGTATGTGGTAAGTTGCCAAAGTGCTTTGTTTTGAACGTTCATCAGTATTATAATCAAAAAGAGAAATATGAACGTTAGTTTTTACTGAAATTATCAAATAAAGTCAACATTTCACAGTCTTTACTGAGCTGTGTGGGGTTTGTTCAACTTTTAAAAGATGTTTGAATGGTGATATACACAGTGATAGATGTTAAGGACTAACCGTTATAATAAATACATTTGTATTGATTTTAAGATCTTTTCATACAATCATACGTATTGGGATCATTTGTATTAATGTGGACCGGAGGGAGAGGGTGACGAGCATAAGTTTCACTTTCCTTTTTTATTTCAATTCCAACTTTGGTCATGAAGAATATGTTTCTCTGTTGTCCCCGTTCATAAAGCATAAAACAACAGCATCAGAGCACGGTGCAGAGTCTCTAGATGAGTTTACAGTAGTCCCTCGTTCTTATTAAACATCCATGTTGTAGTCCGCTGTATAGAAAACTGTAGTTTCCATAGTTTCCCCACAGCAGCAGGCGCACATTTATGACCTCTGCTGGCGCATCATAAACACGTCGGATAGTGAAAGTGCAGTCGGATTCTCTAAAGTGCCGCAGTCTCTTCTCCTAAATCCTTTTGAATTCTCCTATCCACTATCCCTTAACCCCATGATGTTTCACTCCGAGGTCAAGGAATAGACGATAGGGTTAGAACTTAGGAGCTGTTTTTTTGGAGTATTCGAACGCAACCACAGACTTGGTCCAATGTCAGGAAATAGATTTTCCACATAAGTCATAATGCCAAGTGATAAGATTTATTTTGTTCTCAATTGAAATAATACATACAGCAACACCTCCAATTTATTTTTTCCTTCAACAAATGGTACAGGTGGAGGGGTCAAGTTGCCCTAGACTGCCAACGAAAGCTTTATTTGCGCCCTCTGGTGGAGAGAATTAGGACGTGGCCATAATGCTGACTGCAAAATGGATTCAAATGGTAGAGTTTTAATATATTAGCAATTTAGCAGGAGACAAAGGCAAGTGTAATCCACAATTTAAAGTTTAAAAGAGGTAATCAGATTACTGGTAAAAAAAATATATATATATTTGGATAACAATATATTTTAGAATAAATATATTAGAGATAGAAGTACTGCCTGCAATTTGATTTATTTGTATTCAGGCTAGTTTTTTTTATGTAGCAGATTAATTGAACAAAAACACTTTGTTTGCTTTTAAAGCGTATCTTGTAGTAAAATAGCTCTTGTAAACTTGTTTTATCCTCTCGTCTTTGCCAATCATTTAAGACACCTTTTTTAAACAATGTATTAAACTGAACCCAAATCTGCGCTGATGAGTGGGCTTTCCTCACTGAAACCTCCTCCTCGCTGTTGGGGTTCTGTTTGGACCTCCGAGTTCACGGTTTCTCTAACTGGGTCGGTATGATGTGGGCGGACTCTACAGGGCTGGTATGGGTTCTGATACGCTAGGAGCCTGGGCCTGGGGGTGGATGAAACCCGTCTGTAGTCGACCGGTTGCATGTGAGGGCGGGGCATGATGTATGCTGGAACTTCCATATAGGGATTGGGAGGAGGGAACGGGGGCATCACTACAGAGCCCCCCCAGGGGACATGGAGAAGAAAAAAAAAATTGGTTGAAATTGCGATATCTTGCAAAACCTTTGCGTGATCTCGCAAAACCCCTTTGCGAGATCACGCAATAGAGATATCTTCATTTAGCTCAATGTACTTCCTGGTCAGTTCGGCAACACAGAAACCACAACAATGGAGCGGTTCATCGATTTTACTTTGAGCTTGGCCTTAAATATAAAGATATAACATCAGTGCTTGGCAATAGGCACGGGTTTCACATTAGTGAAAGACACCTCAAGAGAACACTCAGAGCTGAGTTATTGACAGATTCAAATTTCGCGGATCAATAACTCCTGAACATAACGTTGTAAGAATACAAACATGACTTTACAATCATAGCAAGGTAGACAACGAGCTACAGAGTCGTTTTTATCAGAACAGTTCGATACGCGCCGTCATCCGAGCTAAACATCAAGAATTGGTCACAATCTGCAGCTGGAGGAGAGAGGAGTGCTTAGGGACCGTCTACAAACTGCAACGCCGAAAATATACTCGTAGAAAAATTCAATAACTTCATTTGTTTAAGATGTAGTGCTACCAAAATCTCTTAACACATCAATGGTTATATTGCTGTTACAGTATAACACTTATTTTGAATAAATATGCTTTTAAATATTTTTCAGGCTTTTTTTTTTTTACATCAAACTATTTTAAATTACAATGTAGTGCAACCAAACCCCTTCACACATCAATAGTACATTGCTGCTCAAACTACGGCAAGATCTCGCAAAAGTATTGCGAGAACATTTTTTTTCTCAATCGATTTTATTTTCTTCGCCATGTCCCCTAGGGGGCTTCGTACATCACCATACCATAGCCTG